ACTTGATCTGATCAGTTAATTTAGGGCCATATTTTTAAGTCTACTTGACATTTTTACTAAAACTAAAATGAAAACGAAAACCATAAAAAAAAGATTTTTTTTTGGAAATAAAATAAAAGTTGACTGGAATAAAATATATACTGTGTATATATTTTGTGTGTGTGTGTGTGTTTACTAACTTAAAACTTTTCTCATTTTTTAGTTAAAAAATGAAAAATGAAATACAGCTGAATAAAAACAATACAGACATAAAAAACTACTAAAAATGTTAAAAACAAACAACAAAATTCCTAAAACTTTAACTAAAATTAAAAAGAAAACTAATAGTATCTCAGGGGTACTAAAATAACACTGCAGTGTAAAAGAATTATCTATAATCATTGTGTATTTGTTTATAATAAAATGATTTGTATATATGTGAGATTTGTTTGTTTATGTCAGTATAGGGTGAGAGGTTGTTCTTTTTTCACATTCTTGTTCCTTGTTTCTGTCTCTCTCTCCCCCATCCGTGTCTTGGAATGTCTGCCGACGGGTCTTCCATTGTCCTCATCCATATGGCCACATTATGGGGTCCTGTCACCAGGCAACTGCAGGTTCTTTTTACGGTTGCCATGACGAAGATTCTTTAATGACGTCATCGCTGCCCCCATGTGCCTCTCTTCATTATGGATGGAAGGTCCTTTTAAAAAGTCTGGCACCTCCCCCGAGTACCCACCCAAAACACACACACACACACTCGTTACTCAGCCTCGTAAGCTCTTTAGCTTCCAAAGGGTGACTGGAACTAACAATCCCACAATGGCAGCTGAAAGAGCTGGTGTGGATATTCATACAGGCTCTATTGTGTTAGAGACTGAGAGAGGAGGGTCGGGGGAAGCAGTGCTGTTAACAAACCCATAAACTTCAGAAACACAGGACCACAAGAGTTTGCGCTATAAAATGCTCGGGCAAATAATCTAGGAAATGACTTCAGGTGGCAACAACTAATTAACTAGTTTTGTTTAAATTGAATATTTTTATTTCTATATGAAATAAATTACATTTTATTTTATAGTCAGATTAGGTAGAAAAAATTATAGATTTTTTGATGAAATTTACATTTGTGAAAATTTGCGATGATCTTCAAAGCATCAAACCAATCAGTCATATTTTGCACTGTATAGTATTGTTTTTCGGCAAAAATGTATGAAGTTACTTTATAGTTGTTTTGTGTAGCAATTTAGCAATTATTGCAAACTAAAAACCTGACTTAAATGTATGAATTTTTAATATCCATATCCATTTTTTTCAGAATTGAGCAATTATTGCAAAGTAAACATCTGATGTATAATTTATAGGTTTTTTTTTTAAAGAAAGCGTATGGATTTTTATATGCATTTTTTTTTTTTAATCTATTTTTTGGAATGAAGATATTATTGCAAACTAAAAATCTGATAAATTATTTATAGTGTTGTTTTTTCTATTTGATTTTGTGTAAAGAAACTTTATGGATTTTTATATATATTTGTCTAATGGATATAATCTATGAATCTAACAAAAATAAAATATATATTTTTGATGCACTGCCAGTGAAAGTTGGCAGTGCAAACAAAAATCAAATGGCCCGACTGTGCCAAGAAAAAAAAAACTTGGATCCAGAGTTGTATCTTGTGTTTTTCAAGTATTTTTTTTTGAAGTAAAGTAATTTTTGATTTTACATTGCAGTGTGTCCAGTTCAGTTAACTGGAGCTAACCAGTAAAATCAGGTCTTGCAGTTCTCCAGTGTGACTGACGGGTTTTTGCTGTGTTGAGTGGCCATATGACCGGCTAAGCCTTAAGAAACAAGGTTTTGGAAACCCAGACAACAACAGTGGCACTTCACATCTGACTGCACTCACTTTTCATTTAGTAACCACCCAGCATCAAATACTTAGAGCTCATTTGAATAAATTGGTAAGAACCTTTGTGGTAACTTCAATGCTAAATATAAGCCTTCATGACTTTGTTTAGCATCAAAACTAGTTAAGAAGCGTACTACCAATCCAGAAACCACAGTTCATATGAAAGTTATAGAAGGGCTTTCACAACCTGATATTGAGCTTGAGGTGACAGTGTACATCACAACTATTACCAGAGGTATCAAACAAGAACACAAAGCTTCCCCCGAGCAGCAGCAGCGCGGTGGCCGCCCAGCCGATGTAGAGCGCCGCGCCGATCTCCCGCTTCTGGGCCGCCGGAACCTGAGGGTTGTAGAAGTCGGAGATGATGTTGTTGGCCATCCAGCACAGAGGCACGAGCACGAAGACGGCGCCGACGATGTAGATGACGCCTCCGACGTTCACCACGCGCGCCTTGACGCTCTCCGTCTTGATGCAGTTGGTGCACTGCGCGCCGGCGATCACCACCATCAGCCCCACGACGCACAGGACGGACGAGATGACCGTGAGCGCACGCGCGGCTTGGAGGTCGTGGCTGAGCGCGAGCATGGAGTCGTGAATCTTGCACTGCATCTGGCCGGTGCTCTGCACGGCGCACGACATCCACAGGCCGTCCCAGATGGTCTGCGCCACCACGATGTTGGCCTCGATGAAGGCGGTCACCTTCCAGGTGGGTAGACCGCAGGCGGTCATCTCCAAGAGCGTGCCAAAGACGCACAGGGTCAGACCCAGGATCTCCAGAGCCGCGGAGGCCATCTCTTTTATTCCTCAGATAGATCTGCGCACCTGTTGAGGGATGTTTGGAAAGGCTGCGTTCCTCTCCAGAGACTTCAGCCTTAGGTTTTCCTTTCTTCTAACCAAAGTGTTCGACTCTTTTTTTCTCTTGCGTCTCCAAATGTTTCTACTCAATGTTTTTTTTTCCTCTCTCTCTCTCTCTCAAATCGATCAAAAAAAACTGAAGCGCTTTGATCAGGTGGAAAGCATCTCTTCGCTGCGTCTCTTCTGCGCTTTGACTAACGGACTTGTCTGGACTGAGAATAAGTGGAGTGGAATAATAGCGGTACGCCAAGAGGAGGGTTGTGTGTGTGTGTGGGTGTGTGTTTAGGACTGAAGTAAAACTTTTATCCAATCGCAGGATGGAGCATCTGTTGCTCGCCAATGAGAATGCAGAGAAGCTGTGCGTTTGAGTTTGAGGGCTATATCAATGAATAAAACAGTTTTATTTGACTTAAGGATTTATTTTGAAACTCTCCAAGGACAAAGCAACCAGAACTATGGATATGCTCAAAGAACTAAACTCCTTCTTTATACTGCGATTATTAATGTATAGCCTACCCTTCTTGTTGCTTTTTTCTTTCCTTTGTCTTTATTTTTTTCCTTTCATAAATTGTAAATGTCATGTTTGTAATATTTCGTCATGGTTTGAATGTTAAATGTTCAGCATATACAATAAAAAAATAAAATAAAACATTTTTGCTTTCATTTCTTATAAAAACAACTCTCACAAAATATATAATGCCACTTATGTATACGTTAAGTCAGCACCTAAACAAAAATGTAAATATAAAACTAAATATAATAAGAAAATGTAAACAAAAGTTAAAAATCTCACTTAAATAAGAAAAAAAAACAAGTATTTTGTCACAAGCGTGTTTAGACATGTTCGCTGAAAGCATTGGAAACCGACAGCTCTCAGAAACTGTGACCGGTCTCCGCCATCTTGGCTCGAATTCTCCCCTCTTTCGCCGGTCCCTCGCATTGATATTTGAGCCATAATGGCTTCCGTTGCGCCGGGATCTCGTAGGCATTATGGGATAAGGACGGAATTGTAGCGATTTCCGGATTCGCTGGATTGGCCTGCTGGGAAGAAAGAAAACAAGGGAGGTGGAAAAAACTCCAGTTTTTTTAGTTTTATCACGCGTTTATAACAGGTAAGGGCTTCTGGCGGCTGAAAAGTTAGTTAAAGTTTCTTCGCGTTTGTATCCGGAAGTGATTAATCACTTTGTATCAATTCCTGTGTGGCTCCAGTGACTGTTGCATGTCAAAGTTGGTGCAAAGTTACACTGAGAAGAAGTTTGATTAAATAATATAGTTGTATCACTCGATAGCCTACTTGGTTTCTCAGTTTGAAAGTGTAAGATGTGTTTTGTTTTATTGCGGGTGTGTCAGTTTTAGATGTGCTACGTGCACTGAATGAAGAACATTTTATCAAGCAGGGTGTGGAAGAGGAGGAGGTGTTTTCGCTTTAAACGGGGTGCTATAAAAATGTACCCAAGGTTATCTGTTGTTTATTTCATTTATAAATTACATTGGGATTTGGCATCATGTGAATTCAGAGACGTGTTGCTCAGAAAGAGGTTTGGGGGAGTCGAGGAGCTGATGGCCAGTTTGACAGCGCATTTCAAAGTTTAACAGCACGTTCTCCGCCTGGAACCAACCTCCTCACTTTAACATGGAGCCAACATTTCGGCGCATGATTCAGTTTTTTTGTTATTAATGAGAAAATTAATTCCTTTTTTAAAGTACTGTCGTACATTTCAAAGTTTAACAGCACGTTCTCCGCCTGGAACCAACCTCCTCACTTTAACATGGAGCCAACATTTCGGCGCATGATTCAGTTTTTTTGTTATTAATGAGAAAATTAATTCCTTTTTTTAAAGTACTGTCGTATCTTAAAGGGGTCATATGATGCTGCTAAAAAGAACATTATTTTGTGTATTTGGTGTAATGCAATGTGTTTATGCGGTTTAAGGTTCAAAAAACACATTATTTTCCACATACTGTACATTATTGTTTCTCCTCTATGCCCCGCCTTTCTGAAACGCGTCGATTTTTACAAAGCTCATCGGTCTGAAAAGCAAGGTGTGCTCTGATTGGCCAGCTATCCAGTGTGTTGTGATTGGCCGAATAGGTGGTATGCAATCACGTGATTCTGATGACGCGCGAAATGCAGCTGGAAGGCAGGAAGTGATTTATAGTTGCTTAGCCTATATCCACCGCCTCAATATAGGCTATGGCAGGGAAGTATTGCAATTTAGTTTAAAAATCACTCCTCTTCGTAACATCACGTCCAACACATGTTGTGATTATAAATACCTTTCTCTTGTAATAGAGTGGTGGTTGAAGAGAGATCCCCTCATATGATTGTAAAGCGCGTTGGGTGTGCAGCAGAAAGGAAAAATTGAAATCGCATCATATGACCCCTTTAAAGAGAACATTCTGGACCTTTCTCTGTGCTCGCTAAAGTTAGTATGTGCTAATAATATAATATTCATGTTGATTATATATTAGATATGTGATTATTGCTTACATACAAATATTACTATTATATAATTACATTTGTAATATATTTTTGAACATTTATGTTCCAAATGCTATGGAGTGCTTTACAATAATAGTCAAATAATGGAATGTGATGATAAAATTAGCAAAATACAGCATAACAAAGGAATATTTAGTACTATAAATTTAGTACTATAGTGTTGATGAAAAAAAAGTTTTAAACACTAGTCCAAAACCATTTCTGCTTGGGTCTCAGGGGGTAAAATATGTTCTAAGAACGTTTTGTTAACGTTCCCATTATGACAACGTTATTTCTGAATATTCTCTGAACCTTCCAAAAAAAAAAAAAAGGTTTAAAAAATGTTTCAGAAAAAAATGTGCATAAACAATGTATAAATAACATTTCTGTGCTATATAGGCCCAGACAGCTTTAAGCGAACGTTCTGTTAATGTTACTGGAAGAACGTTTGTTCATAACCTTGAGAGAACCTTAAAAGAATGTTAGCCTAAGTTCTCAGAACGTTTTACTGTTCGCTGGGTATTTATAAAACAATATCTAGATCACATTTTTTTTTGTCAAACTGAATAAGAGAACTTCAGGCAGCTTGTATTCATCAGAATTATATCTTTTGGCTCATGTTATGTTAAAATAACCCTGAACCTGAATAGAAGTGGTCTGAAAGGAAATCCCCACTTTATAATGAGCAGGATTTTGGCTTTTGGCAAGACATGTGACAAGTAAACAAGATGAGTTTCTAAATGACTTCTTCATTATGAAGGACTATTAACTGTTTCAGATGAGAGTTTATTTTCTGTTTTATTGCGCAAATGTGCTTCTTTTGTGCAAATAAGTGTCTTTTGCTTCCTTTAGCAGTCCTGTATAGGTTTGCGTTGAAACTTTTGACTTTTAGGTGTTGTTTATATCTTGTATAGGACACATTTTAGCATGTTTTATTCAGAGCAGAGGAGGAATGATTCAAAAACAGCGTTTATTATTTTTTTGTGCTTATTTTGTGTAAATGAGAAACCGTTTGAAGTTGAAACTTAAATCTGGTTAAATGTGTAAAATGTTCAAATATGATTTAATTTTTTACAGCATGATGACTTCAGAATAGCACAAATTTAGAAGTTTGGTGCTGGTGAGATTTTTTTAATGTCTTTGAAAGATGTCCAAGGCTGCATTTATTTACTCAGAAATACAGTAAAATCAGTAATACTGTGAAATAATATTACAATTTAAAATAACTTTTCTTTTTTATATATATTTTAAGATGTAATTTATTCCTGTGATGCAAAGCTGAATTTTCAGCATCATTACTCCAGCACTTCAGTGTCACATGATTCTTCAAAAATCATTCTAATATGCTGATTTTGAAACATTTCTTATTATTATCAATGTTGAAAACAGTTGTGCTGCTTCATATTTTTATGGAAACATGATCCATTTTTTTTCTTTATTAATGAATAGAAAGTAAAAACAAAAAGCATTTATTTGAAATAGAAATCTTTTGTAGCATTATAAATGACTTTACTCTCACTTTTGTGTATTTTGCACAATAATTTACTATTTGAAAGTATAAAACATGCATTATGCGTTGACAAGGCTGTCGCTGGATTTTACAAGGTGGATTGACACACTTCTGTTAATTGGATAATTGGGCCCAGTTATCAGACGATAATCTTGAAATGGTTAGTTAATCTGCAATATTGCTAGTTTAAAGTAAACTCTTTAACTCAGATAGCTACTGGAAACTGCAGACTGTCTCTGCCATCTTGGCTCTGAATGTCATCAAAGTTCTTTCTCTCTGTTGTTTCCTCTCTTCGTTCTCACATCGCATCCCGCACTCCTGATGTGTCATTTCCACCTGTGTTTAAAAGTGATTCCGTCCTTTGTCTTGAAAATCATTCATCAATACGCCAGAGCCGGAGCCACTTTTCAAAAGTGAAGCGAATTGCGCCAGAGGTCACGAGGCGCACGTTTCACTCATAAACTCAAGTGCTGCTTTGAACGGTAGTTTGGTTGTGAAACGGCAGCAAGCGTCGGCCATCAGCAAACCCAGCTTTCTGATCCGACTGACTGTATATGTGGCGTTCCAGTCACATGTCTCACGAGCTTACAATCCACTAAGCTCCGTCAGGAATTCTCTTAAGAACCTCAAAACCATTTTTCCCTTTATCGTAAAAACAGTAAATCTCTTAAGTCAGGTCACAGCCTACAAAAGGGTGAGGTAGAGTTGAAAGCTGGTGAGTTTGTTCAATCTTTTCTTGGTTTTGAAGTTTAATGTACGTGTTAATGCAAAAAAAAATCACCCCCGGTGTGACCGCTGCGCCGATAATGAGGCCACTTGATTAATCTGCAATGAGTTTATCCTTGCCATAATTCCCAGCCAGCAATAACAAGACCTCCCAGAGTGTGTGTGTGTGTGTGTGTGTGTGTGTTTGTGTGATAAAATAGGGATTGCAGTGTCCTGTATTATAAAAGCAGCACGGCTACACCCACAATCTTACATTCATCCTAAATTAGTTTCCATACTTTCCTGAAAAACACTTTGACTCTTGATTTTTCCTGTCTTAGAGCAGAAACACTCATGATCATAAAAATGAAGAGCTCAGTCCAACCTTCTTCCTTGTTTTGTTCTTGTTTTGTGTAAATAAGGTTAGAGCCAAATGGAAACGAAACCTAAATCTGATTTAACATTGTGTAAAATGTTGAAATATTCACAACATTTCAAAGCATGATGATTTGTTCGAATAGAACAAAATTACTGAATTAAAGTGAACACATTTAAAAAAAAAAAAAAAACTTTTCAAGAGCTCTTCTGCTCACCAATGCTGCATGATTATATGATTGCCGTAAAAACAGCAATATTGTGAAATATTATTGCAATTTAAAACAACTGTTTTCTGTTTGAATATATTGTAAAATGTCATTTATTCCTGTGATGCAAGGCACATTTTTCCTGTTTTGGGAGTAGAAACACTCATGATCATAAAAATGAAGAACACAGTTCGACCTTCTTTCTTGTTTTGTACTTATTTGGTGTAGGCCTAAATAAGAATAGAAAAAAATGGAAATGAACCCTAAATCTGATTAAGCATTGTGTAAAATGTTCAAATATTCGTAGCATGACCACTTTTTTTGAATAACACATAATTTGCAGAATTTAAGTGAACGTACATATATATATATAAAAGTACCAAGATGATCGACAAAATAGTCCGTGTGACATCAGTGGTTCAACTGTAAAGTTACGAAGCTACTGATGACGTCATTACGCCGGATCTGGGTCAACGCCGCCACACGCTCGCGTCATGGTACTGTCGTGAACGCGCATCCAAAGTGACGCAGTAGAGACGAAAATGTGGAATAAAGTCGTTATTTTTGTTTTCTTTGCACAAAAAAAGTATTCTCGTAGCTTCGTAACTTTACAGTTGAACCACTGATGTCACACGGACTACTTTGTCGATCATCTTGGTACTTTTCTGGACCTTGAACGTGGTAGTTACCTTGCTGTCTATGGGAGGCTCAGAGAGCCCTCAGATTTCATCAAAAATATCTTAAATTGTGCTCCGAAGATGAACGAAGGTCTTACGGGTTTGGAACAACACGAGGGTGAGTAATTAATGACAGAATTTTCATTTTTGGGTGAACTAACCCTTTAAGAATTTTTAAAACAAATACTTTAATTCAGCGAGGATGCATTAAAATGAGCAAAAGTGACATTAAATACATTATTAATATTACAAAAGATTTTTTTTTTCAAATAAATGCAATTTTTGTGAACTATTGACCAAAAAATTTATCACAGTTTCCACAAAAATATGAAGCAGCACAACTGATTTCAAAATTGATAATAATCAGAAATGTTTTTTGAGCAGCAAATCAGCATATTAGAATGATTTCTGAAGGATCATGTGACACTGAAGACTGGAATAATAATAGTTTTTTTTTTCTTTTATGGAGTAAATGTTGTATAAACTAAGTGTTGAATACATATTTTTCATTATTAGTTTTTGCAGTATTTTTAGCATTATCATAGCCACCCTGTTCTTTGGGTATGTAAGATAAATCTATAAGGACTTCCAAAAGACTTGTAATGCATTTATTTATTTTGTTTGATCAATATTTTTTTCTTTATTTAGTTGTGTCGTCAGAAACAAAATGTCGCAGTCTGGAGAAAAAGGAAAGGTAAGATTCTCACACTTATTTAAAGGCGAAGTGTGTAATTGTTTTGTATATTAAAATATTTAATGTTCACTGTAATTAAGTAATTGAAAATGATTTGTCAACTGACTTAACCAATGGCGTGAGTTTGGGGACGGGACTATCTGTTTGCTCAACCAATAGAAGATGAAGGGAGTGTTAGGAAAATCTGTTGTTGTTATTATTATTTTGTTATTCCATTTGGTGCCACAAAAGTTACACACTTCAACTTTAAGTATTGAACATTTCCATATTAAACTTTATTTCTCTAACCGTTCTGATGTGTGGTTCTAGTTCCCTGATGCTGCAGGATATGTGGGATTTGCCAACCTGCCAAATCAGGTTCACAGGAAGTCTGTGAAGAAAGGCTTTGAGTTTACTCTGATGGTTGTAGGTGAGGAACATATAAACACACACACGGATACAGACAGACACACACTGTGCTTTTAACCTGGTGTTATTTGTCATCTTAGGAGAGTCTGGTCTTGGTAAATCAACCCTGATCAACAGCCTCTTCCTGACTGACCTCTACCCAGAGCGCTATATACCTGGAGCGGCAGGTAAAACACACACACACACACACACACACACACACACACACAAACAGCTCTCCTGAGGTCTTCATTAACTCTACAGGTCAGGATATTGTGTCCAAGACTGAAATGATCCCTAGCAGTCATGAGAAAAGCCTCTTTATATGAACCTCATTTTGACCCGAAAAATATGTGAACACTCACATGTAAAACTGTCTGAATGCCATTACATGATAACGAAATATCAAAGTATGCTTTAATTACAAGGTTTCTGCAGGTCTTACAAAAGGTCTTAAAAGTCGTAATTCACCCTTCCACAAATGAAAGCTTTAAAAAGGTCTTAAATCAGGGCAGAAAGTCTGAATTTCATCACGGTTATGCCTAAAATAAGAACAAATATCTGTCAGTAGGGTATGAAAACTTGTTTTCCCTTTAAATTCCCTTTACATGGTCTTAAAAGGTCTTAAAAAGTCTTAAGTTTACCTTTATGAAACCATACGGAAGCCCTGTAATTGTAAAAACAGACAAGCACAAACACTTTTCAATAAAACATTTCACAAATAAAGGTCTGTTATGATCTAAATGTTATATTATACTAATATATAATATAATATATTGCATATTTTGCCTAATGCAGTAAAGTAAGACATTTTTTAACTGTGCCTTAAGTGTCCAAATGCTTTTTTGCGTAAAGTAATATTTCCATAATATATTATATTTATTGCATATTTCGTCTAATGCAATAAATGAAGACATTTTTAAAGTGTCCAAATGCTTTTTTGCGTAAAGTAATATTGTCTTCAGCATGATGCTGCTCCCGGTGGAATGCAGAACATTTCTGATTTAGATGCTCAATGCATGTAAAATCCCTTTAAATGCCTCTGTTGAGCACTTTGTCTATGAAAGCTCTCTAGAGTAAAAGGTTGTTTTCAACAAAGTAATCCCATCTGTAGCCCAGGGCCTCCTCCCAAAGGTTCTCAGAAAATGCTCATTAATCTTTTTCACGGTGCATCGATAAATCATTAGTATTTTTAATTTGATTTGTCTTGATGCTCTTCCTCAACTGTTCCTCTTTTTTTCTGTGAACTTGCGTGTTTTTGTTCTGATGGGATGTTTTTGTACTTGCAGAGAAGATCGAGCGCACGGTCCAGATTGAAGCATCCACGGTGGAAATCGAGGAGAGGGGAGTGAAGCTCCGCCTCACTGTGGTGGACACGCCTGGATATGGAGACGCCATCAACAGCCAGGACTGGTCAGTGTGAGCTAAATCAGACCAAACCTCCCTTTAGAGACATCTGGAGACATCTTCAATTAGAAAAATGAATCATACTTCAAATATAATTTTTAATGTTTATTATTATTTTCTAATTCTAAAAGTGGTACGGTAGGGTTAGTCATTGTAATTAGCTTTTTTGCATATAAAAACAATATTAATTTCTGGTATGTTCATGAGGTCAGAAATGTTTTGGTCATCTAATCAATGTCAACGGGTGTGGAAGGTGAAATTTCTGTCTTCTGAGCCATATATTTATTTTCAAATTTGACGTTCTTTATTATTATGTCAGCTGTCCCATGCATTTTCATTTTCCCTGTAAATTATTGGTGGTAGATAATGACTGGATATTTGCAAAGCAGGGTATACCTGCTGTAAATACATGCTGTTGCAGTTCAAAACATGATATGCTTACATTTGCTAAAAATGTAGTGGCATTTACAGTGTTTCTGTGTTGCATTATTGCATTAGTCCAAATGACATTTTATTTCTTTTCATTACTCTCTTGTACAGGACTGGACAAGCACCTGCACTTTTAAAGAAAAACATTTTGTTATTTTAAAATGTCACTTGCTCTGTGATATTTTGTCTAATGCATTGAAATTAAGTCTCCAAATGCTTGTGTGCATAGGAGTGGATCATTTTCTTCACTCACAGTTTAATGCAGAACAGCATTTCTTATTTTGTTTGCCTTTTGTGCGTTTAAAAAATGCTAGAGGAACCACAAATTTAGGCATCTTGTCATGCAATTTTACAATTTTGTCTATTTTAATGTATAAAATAACTTGTATAATAACTATGACCTCTTTAATGGAAGACCGGACTGATTATTAATTGAATACCCCATGTTTTGTGTTGTACTGTATCTGCATAGCAGAGATTATTTACATTATGGCACTTGACTGTAGACTGGAGGCAGCTGTTGTCTCTTGTTGCTCTATTGGTCATTGAGCCTTGCTAAGGAATGCTGGGAACGTCCTGTTTGAAAGAACAATATCCTCCCCATCTCTCACCCACAGACTTCTCGGGCTGATAATGAAAATGTGCCATCCACATTACCTACCTACTGTCATATCACGTCTTCTTCTCCTTCAGCCTCTCGATAAGGCTGCGGTGTCAAGGCCGATTCGTGCATGACGTTTATCAGAAGACACAGAAGTGCTTTAGTTCTGGTTAAGGGGTTAAGTTTAGTTTAGTTTAGCGTGTGATGTTTAGATAAGTCTGGAGACTTTAGAGCAAAAGGGAAGCTGGTGGTGAGACTTTAGAGAACTGAGAGTTGGTGCATATCAGGGTCATTGTAGTTAACTAAACCTTAAAATAAAAGCATAAAAACATAATTTTTACTTGGAAAAAAGTTAAGTGAAACAAAACAATTGATACAATTTTTTTTTTGTTTTAATTAGTGCTGTCAAACGATTAATCGCGATTAATCGCATCCAAAATAAAAGTTTTTGTTTACATAATATATGTATGTGTGCTGTGTCTATTTGTTATGTATATATAAATACACACACATGCATGTATATATTTCAGAAAAATATGTTATGTTTATATATTAAATATATTTATTTGTAATATAAATTATATGAATATAAATATAGACATGTAAATACATGTAAATATTTTCAATATATATACTGTATGTGTGTGTATTTATATATACATAATAAATATACACAGAACACACACATATATTATGCAAACAAAAAATTTTTTGTATGTGATTAATGGCGATTAATCGTTTGACAGCACTAGTTTTAACTTGATGTACTAAAAACCTACAACTGTAAAAAAAAAAATATATTAAAATAATAACTAAAATAAATAAATAATAATAATAAAAATAATTTTTTTAAAAACTTTAACCAAAATAAAATAAAAAATTTAAAAGCAACATTTCTCATTTTTATTTAAATAGATGTACTAAAAAAATAATTTAAAACCATAAAAAACACATTTTACTTGAAATAAAAAATGGTAACAAACAAAATATAAAATCTTATCAAATATAAAAATATATATAAAAAAATTCAACTAGCCAAGGGAACAGTTCTTCTTTTTTTTTCTTGAAATAAATTAAATGTTAATTGAAACAAACATTTTCAACAACTTTCAGATTTTTTGTTATTTAACCTGATGTACTAAAAAACTAAACCTGAAGTAAAAATGATCAAAAACTGTATAAATATGTTTAAAAAATAATAAAATTAACAAAAACATAACTAAACTACTAACGTTTACTTAAATGTAAAATAAAAAAAAGAAAATATGAATAGAAAAACTAATTTGAAATATTATTCAAATCTATAATAAGATCTCAATGATAATAAGTTAACACTGGTGCATGTGGTCTGTCTATACTGGACAGGAACCAGTAAGCATGATGTTGTGGAGCGTTTTGATAAGCTTTATTTGGACAAAGTGGTTGTTTGTTTGTTTGTTTCTAAAGTGCATCTTGATATCTCATGATTAGATTATGGTTTTGTTCAGCTGAGATCCGTATCCGATGCTTGTTTAATGCGTTAGTTTAATACAATCACAAGCTTTTATGTCTGAGTATTTCCTTTCAGCTCGTTCTCTGATCTCTGCTTTATTCTGTTCGACAGTTTTAAGACGATCATCCAGTATATTGATAATCAGTTTGAGCGATACCTGCATGACGAGAGCGGCCTGAACCGCAGACACATCGTTGACAACAGAGTGCACTGCTGCTTTTACTTCATCTCTCCGTTTGGACACGGGTAAAACTCCTGCACATGTTATGCCTTTCGTCATAAGTCAATAAAACATTATTCATGCAGAAAATGGCTTTAGCCTTCAATTAAGGTCTGTTTGCAGCAGAAGTGGTGCATTAAAGCAACATGAATCACTAACAAAAAGCACTGGTGGAACTTACACCAAAACTTTGCACTTTAAAGTTTTAAGTTCAAAAGTGATGTGAATTGTCCATCAGAAATTAAGTCTTGTCTGCTCACCAGGGTTGCATTTATTTGATGAAAAATTGTAAAACTCCTGCACATGTTATGCCTTTCATCATAAGTCAATAAAACATTATTCATGCAGAAAATGGCTTTAGCCTTCAATTAAGGTCTGTTTGCAGCAGAAGTGGTGCATTAAAGCAACATGAATCACTAACAAAAAGCACTGGTGGAACTTACACCAAAACTTTGCACTTTAAAGTTTAAGTTCAAAAGTGATGTGAATTGTCCATCAGAAATTTTAAATGTTTTTCAAAAAAGTCTCGTCTGCTCACCAGGGTTGCATTTATTTGATGAAAAATTGTGTAAAATAACCAATATTGTGAAATATTAGTACAATTTAAAATAACTATTTTCTATTTGAATATATTTTAAAATGTAATTTATTCCTGTGATGCAAAGCTGTATTTTCAGCATCTTTACTCCAGTCTTCAGTGTCACATGATCCTTCAGAAATCATTCTGATTTGTTGCTGCTCAAGAAACATTTCTGATTATTATCAATGTTGAAGACTGTTGTGTGGCTTCATATTGTTGTGGAAACTGTGATGCATGTTATTTTCAGCATTCTTTGATGAAAAAAAAGTTAAGAAGAACAGCATTTATTTGAAATAGGAATTAAATAGGGATGCACCGATACCACTTTTCCAGAACGAGTCCGATACGGAGACTTTTATTTTTGGTACTTACCCGAAACAGATACAGTACCTGTATTTTCATTGTACATTTTTTTTATGATACATTTTTTTCAGGATTCTTTGATGAATAAAAAGTTTAAAAGAACCACATCTATTTAAATTGAAATCTTTTGTGACATTATAAATGTCTTTACTGACACTTTTGAACAATTTGATGCATCCTTGACAAATGAAAAGATTAATTTCTTAAAAAAAAAAAAAAGCCTTACTGACCCCAAACTTTTGGTGTACATAAATTGTTTCATAGTTTTTTTTTTTGGTGTAGTTAGAGCAAAGTCGTCCTAATTCAAATCTTTATTTTTATTAAAAGAACAGCATTTATTTGATATAGAAATCTTTTGTAAGCTTATAAATGTCTTTACTTTCATTTACGTTCAATTTAATGCATCTTTTCTTAATATCTTTCAAATTTTACTGACCCCAAACGTATGTGATTTGTGCTTCTGTGTGCTTGGTTTTTCCCAGCCTGAAGCCTCTGGATGTTGAGTTTATGAAGGCGATCCACAGCAAAGTCAACATCGTTCCTGTGATCGCCAAAGCCGACACGCTCACGCTGAGAGAGCGAGACCGTCTCAAGAGAAGGGTGAGGATCTGACTCTCTCTGTCTAGAACAAGCACAACTGATCATTTGACCTATGACTAGTTGACAACAAGCCACAAAACTAACAACAGATGTTATATTTGATCATCTTTGGTGTTGATTCCAGCTTTGGGCTTTTTAGGATAATGATAAACACACATTTGACTGGTGCATTGAGTGTTTGGTGATCAGACGGTGTGTTACTGTAGGGTTGGGGTGTGTACATGCATTCATGCATTCATGCATTGTGACATTCCTGGCAGTCTGGCATGGACACAAGTATAGAAAAAGACATGCTGGCCATGCACTGTATGTGCTTTAGTGAGCAGTTCGTCATGGACAATAGTGTTCTCCTTGTGAAGTCTGCAGATGTTTCCCTTTAACACACAGAGAATCACACACCCGCTGGCTCCGCGTCTTCCTGCTGATGTGCTCCGCAGGTTAAGTGGGACGTGATTATGTAGCGTGTATCTGGCTCCACTTCTTTGGGACGTTATCTGTAGTCCCACAGGAAGCTTGCACAGATCAACATGAGCACTGGAGCTTGTTCAGCATTTCTGCTGCTGTTTTTAACACAATTATGTTAATGATCGCAAATGGTGGAGGTTTATTTTGCCAGTGTTAGAATCATACTCCGCCTCTGTTTAACTTAAAACCTTCAGTTTCATTATTACTTTATTACTCATACCTCCATTTAAAAAATAAAAAAAAACCCACACAAATGTGAAGCTTTGAAGCATTGTTTAGGTGCATACATTTTATACCCACTAACATTCAAAAGTTTGGGGTTGGTAAGATTTTTTTAATGTTTTTGAAAGAAATCTCTTCTGCTTACCAAGGTTGTGTTTATTTGATGAAAAATCCAGTAAAATCAGTAATATTCTGAAATATTAATACAATTTAAAAGAACTGCTTTCTATGTGAATATATTTAAAAATGTAATTTATTCCTGTGATGCAAAGCTGAATTTTCAGCATCATTACTCCAGTCTTCAGTGTCGCATGATATGCTGATTTGCTGCTCAAGAAACATTTCTGATTATTATCTGATTGTATGTTGAAAACGGTTGAGCTGCTTCATATTTTTGTAAAAAAAAAAAAAAACTTGATAAATTTTATTAAAAGTATTCATTTATTTAAAAAAAACACAAAAAGTCTTACTGACCCCAAACTTCTGAATGGCAATGTATCATAAATGAGGTTAAAATGATTATTTATTTAGTGCAAATTCACCTTAATTTGTATCCTTATTGTTTAGGTCAGTTAAAAATACTTATCTGATTTTAAAAATAAATGATACCATCTGATAGTTATATAATTATAAAGAATCTGCTCTGTAGTGTTGTAGTGAGCTATTTTGTGTTAAAATCTGTAGTGTAACTAATACTGTTTCAGAAGCTTATCATGGCTATAACTGAAGTCAGCAACATGTAACTTGGTTAAAGGGGTGCTATTATGCTTTTTCACTTTTTCAACTTTAGGTAGTCTGTAATGTTGCTGTTTGAGTATAAAAAAGTTCTGCAAAGTTACAAAGCTGAAAGTCCACTTCAAAAGGAGATATTTTATTTAACAGAAATCACTTTTCAAAAACTACAACGAACGACTCGTTTGGACTACAACGCATATTTTCCGGGATTTGTGATATCACAAATATCGACGAATGGGACGAGACCTGGTTGAGCTGCACTAGAGAAGGCAATGAGTGTTATCACTATGTCAGAGACACGCTAGCTTTCTCAAGGCAGACGAACTTAGAGTGGTTACAATCATCCGGGTTTAAATTGCGCTCAAATTGATTTGATTTTGACGCAATGTTTACACAGAAGCTCGCAGGCGGCTATGGTTAGGGGCGTGACATTTCCCGACCAGGCACCGAGTGCTGCCAATCAAAACACACACTGGCCCAGATAACCAATCACAGCACACTTCGTATTTCAGAAGGCGGGCTTTCATTTGATACAGGAACTATTCGAGCCGTTCATGCCAGAATGGGGAGAGAGGTGTTGTAATAATGTAAAATATGTGAAAAATAATGTGTTTTTTGAACAACCTAGTATGAGAGCCTGTTCTAGTACACCCCCAAAACAAGATCAAGAAGAAAAATGTGCTATATAGTCTTATATAGTATAGTATTGTGCCTTTTCCTGTAGCTCGGCATGTTGCACGTTATTAGATTTTACATGACAAAAGAGTCGTAACGAGACAGTAGTGAGGTAATTTGCCCTCCGTCCCCTGCATTTCACCTAAACTACTGTTAAACCCCCAGACACCTGCTGATCAGTGACTTTCACTAGTATGAACAACAAAAAAGCCCAGTAGTTACTGAACTCTTCTCATTTATGTCTTGAGTTTAGGGTGTTCTGATTAGTCATCCCGATTGACCTCTGTCAGCGGCTTTTATGTGTGTGTTCTTGCATGTAAACATCGTCAGAAAATGGTCAGTTTTAGATAAGACTGATGGAATCTAGCCCACATCCGGCAATCATTGCATGAACGTCCATCTAAGTAGTTTCAAGCTAAATGACCCAAATGTGTGTGTTCTTTGCTCTACAAACGTGGGTTTTTTGGGTTTGATGTAATGATGTCAAATAGAAATAGTTCACACAGAAAAACACAACAAACATTTTCACTCTTGATCCAATGCACTTCCTTGATGGCTCAGAAAATCACAGGACTTGATTGCCTATGCTAGTCCATTTTTAGACATGGCTTTGGACACTGAATGCTTGTATTTTTAGTAGTTCCTGTTATTCGCCTGCTCCATAGATGCCATTTTTCTCTTCCTGCAGGTAATTTCAAAACACATTTTGATCCACATTCCCACATTGCTGTGTTTATTAATGCCTGTTTTGTTGTTTTAAAGGGAGAGTTCAGCAAAAATGAAAACTCATTTACTAATTTTTCAGACATAAAGCACTATGAACATATAGTCTATACAGCTTATGCGTAATATTCCAAGTCTTTTAAGGTCATGCACAACCGTTTTTTGAAAGAAATTCATAGTTTTATTTAGTAAAGACACATTAAATTGATCAAAAGTGACCATAAAGACATTTATAATGTTACTAAAGATTTCTGTTTCAAATAAACGCTGTTCTTTTGAACTTTGTACTCATCATAGAATTGTGAAAAATAAAATGTATCACAGTTTTCACAAAAATGTGAAGCAGTGCAACTGCTTTCAACATTGACAATAATCAGAAATATTTCCTGAGCAGCAAATCAGCATATTAGAATGATTTCTGAAGGATCACGTGACACTGAAGACTGGAGGAATGATGCTCAAAATTCAGTTTTGATCACAGGAAGAAATTAAATTTTAAAATATACTGGAATAGAAAACAGTTTTTTGAAATCGTAATAATATTTCACAATATTGCTGATTTTACTGTATTTTTGATCAAATAAATGCAACCTTGGTGAGCATATTTTTTTTTAAATATTGAAAAAGTCTTGCATGCCGACCCTACATTTTTTATCAGGACTGTAAATTATATTTCTTTGTGGAACAGCCCTAAATTTAGGTCCTTATTCATGAGAAATCTTTCTCCTCTCTATATCGCCATCAAATCTCATTCTCACTAAATAATAACAGAGTTTGCATGTTTGGCCGAACTATTCTTTTAATCTATTCCCTTTACTGTTGCTGAGAAACCCAAGACTACTTGAAACTTGATTGTTTAGAACTTAATTTTAGGAAATTGCTCCATCGAACCTGAATGTTAATGTGAATGAATTGGAGGAAGTTTAATGCTTGTTCTTTTCATTGGTACCTCCACAAATGCTTGAATCCTTTTTTTTGCATTGTCAGACAAGGACGAACACACCCTTCAAATTTTTCTCTACCTTATCTTTCCCAAAGAAGACTGAGGTAAACTCTTGGATGCAACTTCCAGTCATCGTTTCTGACTTGCGTGGAAGTGCAAGTCAGCAGTTTAGTATTTCCCGCTCCCATTCATGATGCCGGTGATGGTTCCCAAAATCCTGCCGTAAGCTTGACAAATGACCCATTGTGTCCTCGCGGCCTGACTGATATTTATGTTTGATTTTCACCCTCACTTTCTCACCGTGATAGCTTTGCTCTCATTCTCTCACAGGAGATCTGCGATCTTTCTCGCACCATCATGAAAGGGGGAAGCAGCTTGTGTAGAACAATATGGCCTTCCTGTAATGTGTCAAGCCGATTGGCAGGGAAAGCCGGGTCAGCGGTGTGCAGGACTCTTATCTGAGACCGGAGTGAGGTCATAAAACCCTGAAACTTATAAAGTACTCGAGGGACGTTTAGGTAGCTCTCACTTCCTGCCGTAGCGGTCATATATACCGAAGAGCAGCAGATCTCGTCCGTGTGAGAAGGAAAGCCGAACTGACGCACATCTGGGGCGCGTATTCTCTTGTAGAGTTGAATGCGATTCCCACAGGCCAGATTGGAGGTGTGCTTGGTGGGTTGCATTGTTGTGTTTATGTGAATTTGAATGTTATTGTTGATGTTTGCCATGCTGCGATCCCCATCACGCTCATATCTCAGTCTCCAAACTGTCAAAGCTTTCCTCTCTTTGTCCTCTCAGTTGGCTCAATGGGAGAGACGTACGAGCGCTGTATGCCTGCGAGATCGTGCCCTTGCCAACCGTTACCAGCCTAGTTGTTTTTAAAAACACAGTGGGGTCAAAAAGTTATATGCATCTGTTTTTATTGTTTAACAAATGTTTTATTACGAAATATGTTGTCAGCATTGTAGTTTGAGTGAAAAAGATACATTTGAGAATGTGTTCTTATTTGGTTGGCATCGCTTTTGCTTTAATTTGAGTTTTGAGTCTGACAATTTATCAATGACACTCTAAAAAAAAAAAAGAAATATAGTGCATAAATCATATAAAATACTGTTACGGTGCATTTGTGTCCTTCTAAATCTTGAAAGCCTCAGTGACCAGTATACTTTTTCTGGGTTTCCTCGGGTCTTCTGCAAATTAAGGTCTTAAAAAGATCTTAAATTCATAGTCATTTTATTAAACCTTGCATGCACTGAAAAAAAAAAAAGAATATCTCCCACAGTATTTTTGTCTTGTTTTCCAATACAAATATCTAAACAGCCTTAAATCAAGATAAGTTTAATTAAAATGCAAGTTAAAATTAAAAGTTTATGCTTAAAATGTGAATGTATCTTTATGTAAATCTTTAAATTAAGTTGATTTTTTTTTTAACCTTTTTTGAGCCTTTTCAGTGTGATCAGAAAGTACAGTTATTCCATATTTTAATTAAGTTTTTTTTCGGAAAATAAATTAAAAGTGCAATCTTTGGAAGTTGTTTTTTTCCAGCTGTTGCTAATACAACATTTACATGTAGAAATTTTCTGTACCTGGTTTTAAAAGGTCTTAAGTCTTAAACTGACCTTCACAAAACCTGTCGAAATTGAACTCTGTTCTTCTAAATTTCTTCTAAATCGTCATACAGGTTTGGAAAGACAGCAAGGTAATTAAATAATGACCGTTTTTGGCATGCATTTTTATTTTTTGGGTGAACCGTTTCTTTAAAAAGCATATATTTTCTTTGGCATACCAACATGTGATGCTGATAATGAAATGCAAAGATGTTTTCAGCCAGAAAATCTGCTACATTTAAATTCTGCCAATTCTTATCTAATTGTTCATACTTTAATTGTAGCATTGCTGAAGGCCTCCACACACACACATCGACAGGAATTTGCTAGAGTGAGCGTCTCCTCGCATCCCGCTGTTTCAGAGACGCCGGATTAACATTAGCCCTGGTACCGACACACACACACACACACACACACAGGTCCAAGTAATTGGTCAGTCCTGTTGAGTTTCTTTCAGAATTATATAACACCCCTGTGTGTTTTTGTGCGAATGAAAGGCCTTCACGAGCCGCAGGTAGCCAGCGGTTTCATCTAGACACAAGAGACCACAGTTAAGAACTTCATGGCTTTTCGGTTCGACACACTTTACTGCTGAATAGTGACTTTTACAGTATTTAATAATTGCTCATACTGCGCTGTTGTGTAATTTTGTTAGTTCCATGAGCCTCAAACAACATCTACACTAAAAACTAAGTGTTATTGTGTTGAAATACTCGGTGATGGGTTTAAACCGTGTAAAGTCTGTAGGGAGTGGTTGGGTTAAAGGTGCTTATTCATGATGAAACTTGACTGTGTGAAACTACTGTTTTGCTCCCTGAAGTATAAGCTCATAATAATTGGTCTACAGACAGGAAAACTATATTTACCTATATTTTTTGATGTGTTATGTACTTAAATATAGTGCCTGTCCTGTTTGTGACTCCTATTTTTGTGCAAGTGACCAAATGTTTACAAACCTTTTTAGTCTTGCAGATGTTACAGTATGCACATAAAGCACAGGCTGTAATTTAGTCATTTAGAGTTTTTACTTAAAAACCGTAATCAGGTTAATTTTGTTTCTGGCCTAGTGCACTACTTTCCTTTATATTTAAAGCATTTTCAGACTCTCCAAAGGATTGACAGAGTGACAGAACTATGTTTAGGTGCTGGTATTTACAGATGCAATATTTTGCATTTACATTTCAGTTTTGCGCTGCCCAAATTGCTCTGCGTCACTTGGTATTATCAAGTGAGTCGTGTTTTTATGGATCCATGCTGTGTTGTGTAAAAATTTAACTTTTTTTTTATATTTATAACATACAGCCTAGTTAATTAACGACGCGACCAAAAGAGTGAAGTTTTCCCTGAAAACCACGATTGCAAATTTGACATTTTATACAAGAGTTAAAACGAGTAGTTATTATATTTTAGTTCAATATTTGAATTTGAATTTGAATTTATTGAAAGGAAATATTGTCAACATTGACATTTGGTTCATGAAAATAGTTCCAAACAAAGAACACAGCAGAACAGTCGCGCATCTATGAGCAACACACAGCGGTGTTTCGTTATTGAATGATTTGCGCTTTTGAATTTGGAATCATTTGAGTCAATGATTGAGTGGTTCATTCATAAAGAATCTTGAATGAAGCAGCCGTCTGAACGAATCTTTTGAAGGCATGCTTCGTTAATTAAGACTGTCACTTGCTGCCACCTACTGGCGGTTTATTTTCATAGTAGCTTATCTTTGCATTTTTTCCAACATTTCATATTTGTAGGCTATATTTAAAAAAAAAAAAACTATTTTAAAACACCAAGCTCACAACATTATTTATGCTATTATAATTTTGCATTTTTGTATGCAGTATTAAGTCATATAAAACATTTCCCAACAATTCCCAAAATTGTGGCCAATGAAAATGCTGAGTGGCTAGTAAATTTGGAAAACCACTAGCCACAGTGGCTGTTGAGCAAAAAAGTTAATGTCAAGTCGTGTGCTCAAATAACATTTCTGATTATTATCAATGTCGAAAACAGTTGTTCTGCTTCATATTGTTGTATTGTACATATTTTACAATTATTTGATGAATAGAGAGTTCAAAAGAACAATGTTTATTTGAAATCGAAACCTTTTGTAACATTATTAATGTCTTTACTTTTACTTTTGATCAGTTTAATGCATCCTCGCTAAATAAAAGTATTAATTTTTCCAAAATAAATTTAGGAAATAAATCTTTCTTTTTACATGCATGCAGGCAGATTTGGTTGACAGTGTGAATTCAGCTTGATTGAGCACTTGGCTGAAAAGACTTCAACGTCCAGCCCACACGAGCTTCGCCTGTACTCGTACCCACAAATAGTCTTGCTCCACAAACACATGGTCACGACTCATAATGCATCCTATGACAAACAAATTACAAGCATAATAGGTGAAACTCACTTCCTTTTTCATTTCGGAGCCATAGAGAAACTCCCGTGCCATTGTTCCAGGCCAGACTCCAGGTGCCTCTGCCAGCCACGTGAACACGCTGCCAATGCAAACACATTTAGCCTCAGAGAAAGACAGGCAGAGCTAATGATTGTGTTGAGGCCTGCGCTGATAAGTCACATCAAGATTCTCAGTGCTGGCAATAAACTGTGGAAAGTCCTTGTTTCCGTACACTGTGAAATAACTATTATCAGCATGCAACTGTGTGAAAGGTTCTTGATTTTGTGCTTTTGAATTTTTAATATTAACGGTCAAAACGACACAAAAAAAGAGGTTGCATCTATGAATTTGTCCCTTTTTTCCAGACTTGTCCCTTATCTTGAAAAAAGGGATGAATTTATAGATATATAAATTTTTTTGACCGTTAAATTTAGCATTTTGCATATTGATGTTGGTTGCATAATCATTTTTTTTTTTCTAGTCATTTTATGTGCCTTTATGTACATAATCATCATCATTATTATAATTTATTTATTTATTTATTTATTTTTCAGTGGTCAAGTGCTTAAAATCCAAAATGCTTGAAAACATATTTCATTTGTTTGCTGTGACAACATTGTTAATTTTTGTTTAGTTAAGATTCTTCATTTAATATTTATATTTTAATTTTATCGCAGCTTTATTTCAGTTAACAAAACAAAAATTGTTTTAGTTACCACTAACAACAATTTTGAAAGCTGTGTTGCAACAATCTACTGGCTATTACATTTTGCATTTTGATGCTGGTAATTTTACAGCCAGTGTTATTTTAGTATCATTTAAATACAATTTTTATTTGTATTTTGAATTACCTTTTACCTTTATATTTTCAGTCATTTTATTTTAAAGGGGTCATATGATGCGATTTCAAGTTTTCCTTTCTCTTTGGAGTGTTACAAGCTCTTGGTGCATAAAGAAGATCTGTAAAGTTGCAAAGACTAAGAGATATTCTTTATAAAAGTTAAGAGTCAGCCACGCCTACCTAAAACGGCTTGTTCTAACAGGCATATAGGACCTACAATAATGTACAGTATTTGAAAAATAATGTGGTTTTTTAACATTAAAGCGTCAACATATTCTGTTACACCAAATACACAAAATAATTATCTTTAAAATAGCATCATATGACCCCTTTAATTTTTAGTAATTTTATGTGCTTTTGTAAATTTTTTTAAAATATTTATAAACAGTTTTAATTTTTATTAAATTTTTAGTGTTATTTTAGTTAGTCATTTTAGTACTTAAGCTTTTTTCAGTTGGCTGCCAAGTAGGGCTGCACAATTCATCGAATTTCTAATCGCGATTACAATTATGGATGCCACAATTGCGTAATCGTTCAAAGCGGCATAATCGACAATTATGATTTTTGTCATAATCGTGCAGCCCTACTGCCAAGGCAACATTTCTAGTTTTTATTTATTTTAGGTTTTTCACTTTATATTTTATTGCAGCTTTATTTCAATTAACAAAAGTGTTTTTTAAATAGTTTAAATTTTTGGTTAGCGTCATCAACACTGATGTTCACATGCCATTTGGCTGTTGTGGGGCAACTGTGTTGCGAATCCACTGACCAGCCGCTTATGAAAATGTCATTTTGCACATTCCCTAATCTGCTTTTCTTGTTTCAATTTTCATGTACAGCCATATCTTAACTCCCTTTCCCGTGCATAAAAGTCTCCACTGTGCCATTTTTCTTTGTTCATTGTGAAGCAATGTGTTTATTTGCCCATTTGGAGATCAAGTCATACAGAATTTCAGTATCTCCACACCCCACACCCCAGATCTGGCACGAATGGGAAAGATGGGCCCTTATAAATCTTGCACGCTTATTCCCTTCTTAATTTGTTCGATATAGTTTGATCAGACGAAGTACATTTATACGGTCATGCACGTGTTTATTTGGACTCAGACCACACAACAGTGACACCCACACAAGCAATAACATGCACAGTCCCGTGCGAGCCGGTCTCGCTGCGGTTCCTCGCTATGAAAACAGGACTAGTCATAACAGGAGGGGGTTTCTGTAAAGCACAGCGGAGCAGGAGCTGCTCTCCCATTGAAACGCGTCCCCGCTGAGATTACATGAAAGCACTGAGAATGTCAGGAAGAGGCTGCTGGTGGCGTCACTACGTAATGGCATTGTGAATGTGCTTCTTAGAAAAACAGCTTTGAAGTTAGAAAAATAAATCTTAAAGTCTGATCCGCCACAGGTGCTTCGGAAATGCGGCTTTTTTATGTGGTTTTGGCTTAAGCGAGGCTATTTTTCAATCTCATATTCGCTTTAGCAGTTTGTTCTGACACACTGAATTAGGAATATCTCCCAGATAGTTTGCACAGGTTGAGTTTGGTGTTCGGTGGAAATCTTGAAGTGGGGTGAGGTTTTCAGCTCTGCCCAAGATCTGTTTCTGGCCTGATCGTATCTGTTATCTGACTTCTTTTGACTCTGACTGGCACCAGACCTGCTACGTGTGGATCCAGTGGTTAGTTTACATTGTGTGATTCATACGATTCCTGTTTTTAGCATCAAAGAGTTTCCTCTGAGCTCTTTGAGAATGGTCCAAATGACAACGTGCTGAGAGAACTTTGGAAGTTCAAGACATGAACTCGGACTAGTTTCCAGTGTTTTGGAAGAACATTAAGCGCAATTTCTAAACTAAAATGGATTGGTACAGGCATCATAAATCATTGTAGAATTACCTTGTTTTTAGCAATCAGAGCAATTTTATAACAGTTGCTACAAACATGGAACAGCACAGAAATCATAAATCTTTGTAGAATTACCTTGTTTTTAGCAATCAGAGCAATTTCATAACAGTTGCTACAAACATGGAACAGCACAGAAATCATAAATCTTTGTAGAATTACCTTGTTTTTAGCAATCAGAGCAATTTCATAACAGTTGCTACAAACATGGAACAGCACAGAAATCATAAATCTTTGTAGAATTACCTTGTTTTTAGCAATCAGAGCAATTTCATAACAGTTGCTACAAACATGGAACAGCACAGAAATCATAAATCTTTGTAGAATTACCTTGTTTTTAGCAATCAGAGCAATTTCATAACAGTTGCTACAAACATGGAACAGCACAGAAATCATAAATCTTTGTAGAATTACCTTGTTTTTAGCAATCAGAGCAATTTCATAACAGTTGCTACAAACATGGAACAGCACAGAAATCATAAATCTTTGTAGAATTACCTTGTTTTCTACCAAGTTTAGTGAAGACTTTTTAATGAATTTTGTGCCTATCAAATGACAAAAGGCCACATTTATATATACATATATATATCTACATGTGTAACATATAATTTTAAATGAATAATTTTATAAATTAATTATAATTTTAAGTTGTTAATACAAAATAATCTGGATTATTGTATTATTTGTGTTATGTATTATTTGCCTGTGTGTAAGAATAAGTTCTATTCATTGCCATTAAAGTGAATTAACTGAACATAAACATAGGAATTTCTCCATTTGTTCTCTAGTGCCCTCTGCTGAAGGTGTGTTTCTCTCTCTCTCTCTGTGTGTGTGTGTGTGTGTGTGTAGAACTCACATGCAGGACCTGCAGGAAGTCACTCAAGATCTCCACTATGAGAACTTCCGTTCAGAAAGACTAAAGCGAGCTGGCAGGTATGTCAAATCAACAAATAAACCCAGTCGCAGATCATCATCCTGTACATGAACGGATCTGTGAGTGAACGTTTGGTGTACTCTGTGTTCCCGCAGGGCAGCTGATGAAGATGTGTTGGACAAAGACCAGATCCTCATGGAGAAGGAAGCTGAGGTGGGTCACAATGTATATGCATATGAATTTGGGATTTTGGCTACTGACTAGAAGATTCTTACTATCTATCTGTATAAATATGTTGTGTTTAATTAGTGTGCGGTATTCTGGCCTATGGGAATGTCTATCGCAGTCGGGCATGGACGCAATCAGAGCAGTTTGTAAACATCCATGTCTGCACAGGAAATGACATCTGCTTCCTGCATGGCAGAACGTACAGAAACACTTGCAATGTAAAGGGTGTTTTTGTTTTTACAGGTTTAATCTACCAAATGTCCCCACAAAGATAGTAAAACCTGAAATCAGCTACATTATGGAGAGAAAGAGGGAAACAGACTAATAAACCTACTAACCAACGTCTTAATATTTAAAAGTGCAAAAAGGGAGGGTTTAAAGGTATGTTTAAAGGATACAAAATAGCATTAGCTCGCTATAAAAACAACAAACATGAGTGAGTTTTAAGCATCATCTTCAGTGATGTATTTAGAGGAGCAGTTGTATACAGTATGTTCTCTAATTATCATGATTGTTGTGATTAGACCTTAATTAGAGACTGCTGGGTAATTGTGTTTATGTTTCACTACTGTGTTTATGTGTACGTGTCCATCTTGGATCTTCATGAGGTGTTCCAAAGTCACAATGTTAGAGTTTGTGCTTTAAAGTGTGAAAATACACAAACACACATTTAGCTGGATAAATTTATAATGCATTGAACCAGATGACATGTTATATTACAGTGATATATAAATAAATACTGTAAGAACAGTCATGTTGTGACATATTATTACAATTTCAAATAGCTGTTTTCTAATATATGGTCAAATGTAATTTATTGCTGTGATCAAAGCTGAATTTTCAGCATCATTCCTCCAGTCTTCAGTGTCACATGATCCTTCAGAAATCATTCTAATATGCTGATTTGCTCCTCAGTTATCAATTATTATCAGTGCTCAATTACTAATAATGGTTCTCATTGTTGCTGTTTAATATTTATGTGGGAAACCAATCTGCGGTGAATGGCAAGTAAAAAAACAGCATTTATTTGAAATAGAAAAATGTATTTACTGTCACTTTTGATCAGTTTAATGCAGAATTGCTGAATAAAAGTACTTTTGTCTTTTTCTTTTTTTAATCATACTTACCCCAAACTTTTGAATAGTAGTGTGTCACAGTTTCCACAAAAAACATAAAGCGGCACAACTGTTTTTAACACTGATAATAATAATAAGTGCTTCAGCAGATCAGCATATTAGAATGATTTCTGAAGGATCATGTGACACTGAAGACTGGAGGAATGATGCTGAAAATTCAGCTTTGATCACAGCAATAAATAACATTTTACAATATATATTTAAATAGAAAACAGTTATTTTAGATTGTAATGTTTCACAACATTAATGTTTTACTGTATTTTTGATCAGAGAAATACAGCCTTGTGAGACTTCTATTAAAAACATTGAAAAATCTTAATTATTCCAAACATTTTACTGGTATATTTATATATATATATATATATATTCTGTATGTATGTATATATATATATATATATATATATATATATAGGTGAAACATGCAGAAACAGTCTCTCTAACTGTTTTTCCTCTCTTGCAGCTGAGACGCATGCAGCAGATGATTGCTCAGATGCAAGCTCAGATGAAGATAAAACCAGGAGACGACTAAGTGTGTGTGTGTGTGTGTTTGTGTGTCTATTTGTGTATTGTGGGAACAGGAAGTGCCATCTGACTGGAGGTTACGTTATCCTGCCCATTTCTAAACACTATTTGCTTGTCCAATCCCTCATGTTTATCAGATTAATGGAACTTAATGTTAATGTCGTCTAATTCATATAACCACATCACTATCGCAGCTCCGCCCATACGAATAACCTCAACACTGAAACGAAAGGTCCGTTATCATGTCATTTAATCAGTCAGGTTAGATCCTGTTAATAATTTATATCACCTTTAGTCAATCATGGTTTCATTGACAATGTTCAGCATATGTTCATCTGTAGATTGATCAGGGTTTGTGGTCAGCTGGAGACTAGATGTTTTTCTGTGCCAAACACTCTTTTTAAGCTGCTTGGCTTGTACCAGTCATGCATCAGACTGGCATATGTTTACCTGATCACCTCGACAATACTTTATAAAGCATATATATTATACTTTGACTGCGGATGCATGGGATAAAATAAGAGGACGATGCACTGGTAAGATGCACCTGGTCAAGTTTACAATTTTAGAAAATGTACCTGTTCATAATCATCATATAGTCACACAGACATGAATGCATATCAGAGTTTGTTGGACTAGTGTTTGAAAAAGCGGTCGCACGTTAGCACATACAAATTAAAATAAGTATCACTAACAAATAAACAGATGCTCTCAAATCATGTTTTTTTAAATGCATTTGAATCTGTATGGCGTTGATTTGAGCTGCGTTGGGCAGCACTTCCCTCTAGTGGACTATATAGAAAAACAACCTGATGTACAATAGAAAGCACATTAAACTACATTTTGCCAGATTGGATCATGAAAATACTAAGACTACAATTGGACAATCTCTTGACATCCTGTTTGCGTTTTGATCTGATCATCTTTTTGAAAGGGAAATCAGTTAATAAAGTGGCGCAGCAAATATTGTTCACCTTTCTTATTTGGAGAGTGTGAATCTAGTAAAATGACGGTAAAGTTATGTGTTTATTGTGGACACACTGGTTCAGCTGTTGGTTTGTATTTTGATTCACAGAAATGCCTTAAAACTCCATTTAGAGACATGGTGCACACATTTCTCTTCTTTTATACTTATATTTTTATGGTTTGGGGATTGTTTTCTATCATTTTTTTATTGCTTGATTTTCACTTTATTTACTACTTAAACATTAACATCTACCGCAGTGATCTTTATGTTTCTTGTTTAGCAGCTGGAACATTTATAAGTGTATGCTTTTAAAGTTCATCTAAACGGTACAAGGTCTAAGAAACGGACTAAAACGCACCATCACTGCCTGCACATTGATGTCCGAGTCATTTTACAGCATTGTAGGGAGTTATTTGCTAATTATTAATGTAATGTCTGCTGTAAACACACTGATTTTGTTTTGTTGTATTTGTGGTTCAGCCCACTTATTTTGACTCGGTTATCTCCTGTTTAGGCCTTTTTTAAAGGATTAACACAGTTGTGCGGTACAGTAATGCTTACTTCCCTGTTTTACATGTTCCTTTTTGTGTTTGCTCATGTTGAGAAGTAAATCACTTTCTGAGTCATTTGTTTTGAACGCTTTAGTTTCCTGCAAGCATAAAGTCTCAGAAATGGTTTTGAAAACATTTCTGTTTGTACACCATAAATAATGTTTTGCTCAACAATGCTTTTTTTTTTTTCATTCACCATTTTTGACTAGTTTCATTGACCCTGCAAATTATATGCATATTCTGATTTATTTATTAAAAAAAAAACTATACCAAATATAGTTTTGTTTTTTTTATACTTAATATAAACTTTTCATTTTTAGATCATTTTAAAATGAGGTGCATTTAAAATGTTTTTTTTATTAAAACTGAAAAATTAATTGACACACATATAATTCATTCTTTTTTACTAAATGTAAACATTTAATTTTTACATCATTTTCAAGGTAAATTTAAAACGTGTTTTTTATTAAATAATGTAAAATGAATTGACACTAAATATAGCTTACGTCTTAACTAAATGATAACTTTAGATTTTTAGATCATTTTAAAATTAAGTGCTTTTAAAATGCATTTTTGAAATGTAAACTTCATTTTTAGATCATTTTCAAGGTAAATTTAAAATGTGTTTTTATTAAAGAATGTAAAATTAATAGCAAAAAATAATTAAAATATTTTTATTAGATGTATATTTTTGTCATTTTAAAATGAGCTACATTTAAAATGCTGATTTAAGAAAGCAAATTCTTTAATAAAAGCCTTGAATATCATTTGTACAAGTACTATAAAACTATAGATTTAATAAGCAAAAAAACTAAAGATTTAATGTAATTTAATATAATGAAAAGTTTTTTTTATATATATATATTTAACCTTATGTATATTTGTTTGTAATGATTTTAATTTTTAAAACTGAAAAATTAATTGACACACATATAATTCATTCTTTTTTACTAAATGTAAACATTTAATTTTTACATCATTTTCAAGGTAAATTTAAAACGTGTTTTTTATTAAATAATGTAAAATGAATTGACACTAAATATAGCTTACGTCTTAACTAAATGATAACTTTAGATTTTTAGATCATTTTAAAATTAAGTGCTTTTAAAATGCATTTTTGAAATGTAAACTTCATTTTTAGATCATTTTCAAGGTAAATTTAAAATGTGTTTTTATTAAAGAATGTAAAATTAATAGCAAAAAATAATTAAAATATTTTTATTAGATGTATATTTTTGTCATTTTAAAATGAGCTACATTTAAAATGCTGATTTAAGAAAGCAAATTCTTTAATAAAAGCCTTGAATATCATTTGTACAAGTACTATAAAACTATAGATTTAATAAGCAAAAAAACTAAAGATTTAATGTAATTTAATATAATGAAAAGTTTTTTTTATATATATATTTATCCTTATGTATATTTGTTTGTAATGATTTTAATTTCTGAATATTTTAACCAAGCTGATTTTTATCTTTTCACAATTAAAACATTTTTATTTGCCAAAGTTACATTAAACGGCACTGTTGTAGAGTCCTGTCAGCTGTGTCGATGAGTGACGTGTTGGTGGGCGTGGTTTCGTCTGCGGCGGCCCCGCCCCTCTGCGCCTGGGCTTCACAGCGGGGCTGAGCGTGAGACAGACGGATCCCGAGCAGAGCAAAGACGGCCTGAAACATGACCACCAACATCCGATATAAGAGCAGGATGATTAAATCCGGTAATGACACAGAGGCTGGCTCTGTTTTACTCTGTTTTTACTCTGTTTGACTGATGAAATGCTGATGATTTCTCTCTTCCCGCACCTGCTGATGCTGATGCTGATGCTGATTCTGATGATGGTCGCATTCAGAGGACAGTGAGGTGAGAAACGACACACTTCACCACATTTCGCAGTTTTACTTCACTTTTAGAGTTCCTACGAATTCGGTTTATTTCCACACACAGTTGAACCGTGTTTACGAGGTTGAAATCGTTTCGGCAGATCGTGTCACCCACCCTCGACTGACGCACTTTATTTCTCATCATCTCAGCCGTCAGCATTATTATAATGCATCAGTCGCTCTGGCTTACATTCTAGCCTTGAGGAAGTCTGATGTCTGCTGGCTGTTTTCTGTCGTTCTGAGCTCTGATAGAGGATGATAGTGCTTTTTCTCTCTCGAGGTGTTGTCATGGTTACAGGAGCCGGAGTGTGTGAGAGGCTGATATAGCAGATGCCTGAAGAAGTGTGAACCCTGAGCTCTGTGTGTGGAGATACATGTTTATAGTAGTTGGTGATTACAGTTAAAGCGGAATAGAGTGTTAACTGCTCAAGCAATCTCACACCTTCTAGTATCACCCAAAAAATGGTTTGGGCGAGCATTTTTTATTTATGTGTTGATGTATTAATAGAATTTAGTTCATGTTATAATCTAATTTATGTGGTATTAATCATGTTATTGGGCACATATCCACAATTAGACATCAATATTTTTGAATTGCTGTATATTTTAAATGCATAGCATTTAAAAGTTTGGGGTCAGTCAGATTACTTTTTTAAAAATGTTAATTATTCTTATTATTATTATGTAAGGATGCATTAAATTGATCAAAAGTGACAGTAAAGACATTTATAATGTTCAAAAGATTCTGTTTAAAGAATTAGTTTCCACACAAAAAATAGGAAGCAGCCCAACTGTTTTCAGCATTGATAATAGTCATAAATATGACACTGAAGACTGGAGTAATGATGCTGAAAATTCAGCTTTGCATCACAGGAATAAATTATATTTTAAAATACATTCAAATAGAAAGCTGTTATTTTAAATTGCAAAAATATTTCACTGTATCACTGTTTTTACTGTATTTTTGTTCAAATAATACAGCCTTGGTGAGCAGAAGAGACTGCTTTCAAAAACATTTTAAAAATTACAGACCCTAAACTTTTAAACAATATCTGCTAAAAGTATTGCATATAGATGTAATGCATGTATGTAAATATAAATTGCTAGTAAATTTCAGAAACAGTTACAATGAAACGGCAAGCAACTTATTTTATTTATAACTTTAAAAAAATCATTTTGTACCGTATAAAAGCATCTTTTAAATAATACTTTAATGCTGTAAACATTCTGTTTTACTGTACAGTCTGAAGCTGTTCAGAAGGCACATGTGTAGTAACTAGAAAGCTCATCCTACGCAAAAGCAGAAATGCAACAATTCACACTCCCACATACACACATTCTGTCAGTGCTTCAAGATCTCTCTCTCGCTCACTGTATATTCTCCTCTTCCTTCCTTCTCCTCTTGTCGTCTTCTGGTCTCTTTCTCTCTCTCTCTGCATTGAGGCTTAATAACTTAATGGCGTGGAAGGCTGGCTGCCATTTCAGACATGTCTTATTTATCTCTGAAAAGGTCACTGCATTGAAATAAGATTGTGTGTAAGTGTGTGTGTGTTTGTATAGAATAAGCTGCATGCAGCGTGACAGATTGCAGAATTGAAGTTTCCTTTGACCGTGAAGTCAAATGGACTGTGCAGTTGCTCAAATGCCACAGCAAGAAACGTCCGTCTCAGTATCTACAGTATGAGAGAGGACAGTGTTCTGTAAGTGCTCCAGTCAAATACAACAGCGAGTGTAATGTTGCCCAACGAGTTTTGGTTCACTTTTATTTGGATTGACTTTCGATGTAAACATTAACAAAAAAAATCAAGTCATCATACCTACTCTAATGGTATTCTTATTCTGTGTCTATGAATTGCAATGAATGCAGGTAGTGACCAAACTTTAAAAATGGAAAATAATTGTGCTTTTTTGAGCTTTTCACTCCTTTTGCGTTCCACGGAAGAAAGTAAGTCATGACATGAGGATGAGTGAATGATGACAGAAATGTTATATTTGGTTGAACGGTTTGTGTAAATGTGAGTTACTGTTTAACTAATATACTCAACCATTCAGTAAGATTTTTTATTTATTTTTTTGGCATTTTGCCTTTTTTTAAGATAGGATAGTGTAGAGTAGACAGGAAGCGAAGTGGGATAGAGAGAGGGGGGTGGGATCGGGAAAGGTCCTTGAGCCGGGATTCGAACTCGGGGCGCCCGCAATGCAACGGCGTTATATGTCACCCAATATAGGCTATCGGCGCCGTCACAGATTTTTTTCTTTTTTGAAAGAAATTAATTCTTTTATACAGCAAGCATGTATTAAATTGATCAAAATTGTCAGTAAAATTGATATATTACAAAAGATTTATATTTCAAATAAATGCTGTTCTTTTGAACTTTCTGTGCATCGTGCATCATGCATCATGGTTTCCACAAAAATATGAAGCAGCACAATGGTTTTCAACATAAATGTTTCTTGAGCAGCAAATCAGCATATTAGACTGATTTCTGAAGGATCATGTGACACTGAACACTGGAGTAATGATGCTGAAAATTCAGCTTTGCATCACAGGAATCAATTACAACTTAAATTTTCACTATTTTACTGTTTTTACTGTACTAAATAAATGCAACCTTGATGAGCAGAAGAGACTAATAGCATATATGCAGTACAGTGTTCCGTAAATATTATCCCTGAAGTACTGTGAAAGGTTGTTGGTTTAAACCCCAAAAGGGACGATCCATCACCATTGTGCCCCTGAGCTAAACACTTAACCTCATGCGACTCCAGCGGAACTGTCCCTGTGATAAGTGTACTGTAAGGATACAAGCTGCAGTGCAGGTGCAGTGAACCATTCAAACACATGCCCGCAGTGTTACTAACAAACCGCTGAACCAGTAAAGCTGACATGGTCTGAAAGTGAGAGGAAAGCAGTCGCCCTCTGGGAACACCGTTCTATCGGCACTATCAGGTCTGTTTGTGCTTGACCCAGCACAGCTGCCATAGAGGCCTGAGGATGTTTAGTGAGCTCATTCATTCACTGCTCATCCTCAGACATCTCTCCACCCGTCATATCATCATGACATCATCAGGGTGTTCCACACCCATGGTCACTCACTTGGTGTAGTGTGAGATGCACATGTGATGTGACATTAAAGGATGACATCACTCGTCCCACCTCACTGAATAGCAGGCAAGAAATCACTATCTGACGAAGACTTGCTGGAAGAAGAGATTGTATTATCTCAATGTACTGTTCTGGTTAAGTAAATACATTTGTAAAAATAAAATAAAAAATGTTTGTGTACACAACCAGGGTGTTGCTATGCGGTTGCTAAGATATTCTGAATAAATTACTTTTTTTTTTGCTTTGCAGTTTGGTTGCTAGGGTGTTCTGGGTTGTTGCCAGGGTGATGCTATGTAGTTGATAATATATTCTCAGTGGCTTTGTGTGCATTGCTATGCAGTTGCAGTGAACTTTACTGTTAGTTGCAGTAGTAGTTCTTCTTAGTGTGTTGCTATGTGATTGCTTGGATGTTCTGGGTGGTTGCCAGGGAGTTGCTATGCAGTTCCTAAGCTATTCTGAATATCTTTCTTTGCATTGTTGATATGTGGTTTCTAGGGTATTCTGGGTGGTTGCCGGGGTGTTGCTATGCAGTTGCTAAAGTCTTCTGAATGCCTTTCTGTGGTTTCTAGGGTATTCTGGGTGGTTGCCAGGGTGTTGCTATGGTATTCCTAAAGTATTCTGAATGCCTGTCTGTGTGTTTCTATGTTGTTGGGTGTTCTGTTTGGTTGCCAGGGTGTTGCTAAGCAGTTGCTAAAGTGTTCTGAATGCCTTTCTGTGGTTTCTAGGGTATACTGGGTGGTTGCCAGGGTGTTGCTATGCAGTTGCTAAGATATTCTGAATGACTTTCTTTGCGTTGTTGATATGTGGTCTCTAGGGTGTTCTGGATGGTTGCCAGGTTGTTGCTAAAGTGTTCTGAATGTGTTCTGAATGGGTGTTCTGTTTGGTTGCCAGGGTGTTGCTAAGCAGTTGCTAAAGTGTTCTGAATGCCTTTCTGTGGTTTCTAGGGTATTCTGGGTGGTTGCCAGGGTGTTGATATGGTATTCCTAAAGTATTTTGAACGCCTGTCTGTGTGTTTCTATGTTGTTGGGTGTTCTGTTTGGTTGTCAGGGTGTTGCTAAGCAGTTGCTAAAGTGTTCTGAATGCCTTTCTGTGGTTTCTAGGGTATACTGGGTGGTTGCCAGGGTGTTGCTTTGCAGTTGCTAAGATATTCTGAATGACTTTCTTTGCATTGTTGATATGTGGTTTCTAGGGTGTTCTGGATGGTTGCCAGGTTGTTGCTAAAGTGTTCTGAATGTTTTTCTGTGGGTTCTAGGGTATTCTGAGTGGTTGCCAAGGTGTTGCTATGCTTTTCCTAAATTATTCTGAATGCCTGTCTGTGTGTTGCTCTGTTGTTGGAAGTTCTGTTTGGTTTCCAGGGTGTTGCTATGCAGTTGCTAAGGTGATTTGCTCAGGTGCATTGCTGTGGGGTTACTAGGGTGTTTTCGATGGTTGCCAGGGCATTGTCGTGCAGTTGCTAAGGTGTTTTGAGTTTGTGATCAAACTATGTGAAATGAAAGCTGTTTGTTCCATGTCTTTTGATATGTTTGAAGACGTGTTTCTTTGATACTCTGATCGTATTAGAGTTCCTAAAACAACTCAAACTGATTAAAAACAATACAGATATGGGCCTGGTGAGGGTCGCTCCAGGTGGCACTCAGGGATGGCAGCTGGACAGTGAGAGGGTGTTGTTCTGTGTTAGGAGGGGCGACCAAGGCTATTGTATCACTGAAGGACATCTGTTCTGCTCTATTCAACAGACCCCCACTGGACCCCCCACCAGCACACTCATCATCTATATGCATGACCAGACCCCCACCAACATCATAATGGGGTGAATCATGCTTAATATGAAGATGTTTATTAGTGTTGTTTGCTCAGACGTCACTAGTACGTTGCTCATATAAGGGTTAGTGATCTGAACGATCCCCAAACCTTTAACTCAATTTAACTCAATGAAGATGTGCAGTCACACATATATTCACAGAGTCTGACAGGCTTCGATATGAGCACATGCATGCAATATTACACATTAGGGGGGAATTTTATGACACATTCAGTAATGAGGCTTTTAATGCATTTAAGCTTACATTCATTAACTCTTGTGGTTCATTACAGGCATCTAAAGTCAATTGATTCCATTTGCATGTTATATAAGAGAGAGTCGCCGAATTGTGTCATAAAAACAATTAGCTGTGATATCAGGTGTCAGGATGAAACAATTACATTATGAAATTGTGTGTATATGTAAATGATTTAACTGCTCCTTTGCATGAAGAGACAATCCTTGAGTGTTTATGTTTCATAACACTAGCGCCCCCTGGTGAAATTATATATATATATATATATATATATAGAGAGAGAGAGAGAGAGAGAGAGAGAGAGTCTGTTTTGCCTTTAAAGGCTGCATTTATTTGAAAAAAAAAAATCAGTAATAATATGATATATTATTACAATTTAAAACAACTGTTTTCATATTTGAATATGTTTTAAAATGTAATTTATTCCTGTGATGGTAAAGCTGAATTTTCAGCATCATTACTCCAGTCTTCAATGTCACATTGTCTTCCAGAAATCATTCTAATATGCTGATTTGCTGCTCAAGAAACATTTCTGATTATTATCAATGTTGAAAACAGTTGTGCTGCTTCATATTTTGTCGAAACTGTGATACATTTTTTAAGGATTTTTTTTTGATTAATAGAAAGTTCAAAACACCAGCAGCTATTTGAAATAGAAATCTTTGTAACATACTAAATGTTTCACTGTCACTTTTGATCAAATTAATTCATTCTTGCTAAATAAAATTATTAATTTCATTAAAAAAATCTTACTGACCCCATGCATCATCATATATCTGAAAATAACGCTCTAGTAAAGGTCAGGCTGCTGTGCTGTAGTGTGTAAAAAAGCTGTGCCAGTCTGGCAAGGTCTGTTGGGAAGGGTGTGGCTGTTGTCTTACTAAATGTGTCTTGCTCCCTAAAACACACACGCACACGCACAGAGACAGAGAGAGAGAGAAATCTCTGCACCTCAGAGCCGGCTGTGGAGAAAAAATAGTGGGGGAGGAATGAACAACTAAATGAATGAGTGTTTTTATTCCCGTTTTCAGCCCCCCCCTCCTTTCCTGTCTAAAATTGCTTCCATGCTTTTTTTTCCTTTACGTCTTTTCATTTCTCCTGCTCGCTCTCTCTCACTCACTACCTTCTTTTGTCAGTCTTTCATTCAGTCATGTGGGGATTCCTCTGCCTGCCTGTCTGAACACGGCGCGCTGGGATGTGCCGTGGGCAAGAGACAGACAGAAAACAGGGAAAGGGAAATCAGCGAGGGTATATAGAGGCAGAGAGTGATAAAGTGAGGGTCACGCAGGTTTAAAGAGGGACGGCACACATTTCTGAGACGTCTGGTTCAGGATGGACACCATGATGCTGCAGGAGAAACTGGTGGAGAAACTTCTGTGTCCCCGAACCAGAACCACCAGACAGAAGGTTCGCTGCTAATGTCTTGTAATCTATCTATCTATCTATCTATCTATCATGTATCTATCTGTTAGAAAAGCTGCTTCAGTTTAGTTTATTAGGTGTTATTGCAAATAGTATGATGCCACATGAATGATATTGTGTAAATTTAGTTTGTTTGGTGTTTAAGATACTTAAAGGATTTAAATTACACTAGCAGGCACTTAGCAACACCCTAGCAACCACCCTAGCAGCCTCATAGTAACATGCTTAAATCATTCAGAACAATTTAACAACTGCAGAGCAACACCCTAACAAAAAGGTAATTGTACCTTTTTATCTCACCTTTTGGACTTTTTTCTCACAATTCTAAGTTTATATATCACTTATTTGGACCTTTTTAAAATTTTGAGATATTAACTCAATATTGCAAGATATAAGCTCAGAGTTGCGAGAAAGAAAGTCAGAATTGTGCGATAGAAAAATCAGAATTGCAAGATGAAAACTCAAAGTTGCAAGAAATTTTTTTTTTTTCTCAGAATTGCGACAAACAAAGTCTGAATTGTGAAATATAAACTCAGAAATGTGAGGGAAAAAGTTAGATTTGTGAGATAAAAGCAATTACTTTTTTATTACATTGCAGAAACGAGCTTCCATAATGATGTGTTAAAACACATGATAAACAACCCATTTTTAGATTTGTAACCAAAGTTAATTAAATATTAATTAAATATTTTTTTAGCTTTTATTTATGAAAAGATATAATGCATTACAATGTGCATTATGAATACCTTTAAAATGCATTATACATAAAGGCTACAGGTAAAGTGTTACCACTTTTTCTTCAGAGAATGTAAAAATCTAGTTGATGTTTTGCACACATGCATCTTTATCCCTCTTCTCTCACACACACTGTGCGTGTGGGGTGAGATACGCCAGGGTTTCTCTTTTCTAGGATGATGGACAGCGGAAACACACATGACGGGTTGTGAGATGCTCTGGCAGTCAGATGGGTTGAGTTTGGCCCAAGTTTGAGTGTGTTAAAAAGGCCTTTTCAGCTTATGTAAATATGGCTTCTGTGTGTGTGTATATGGTCAGTCGGTTTGGCCTGCACACTGAGCTGGTTCTGCTGTCGGGTTTAATAGTGATTTTGCTTCCCGTCAGTAATTTCTGTGTTCTCCGTGTCAGTTTGAGCGGTTATGACTGCTGAGCGGTTTCCGGCACAGTTGGTGGATCTGCAGGAGACTCAACACTACTGGGCTTTTCATGCTCTGCTATTTTTGTGCCAGTCTGATGATTCACATACGTTCGGTCTTAAAGGGACAGTTCACCCAATCATTCATCCTTCAAAACTTGTATAACCTTCTTTCTTCCATAAAATGCAAAAAGATTATACAGAATGTTAATGTCAGGGATTCAGCATTCCGGATAGGGGTGGGAAGATCATTCCACCAGCCAGGAAGGGTGAACGAGAATGTTCTGGAAAGTGATTTTGAGCCTATCTGTGATGGTACCACGAGGCTCACTAGCGAATCTCAGACTTCTGGAGGGGATGTGGATTCGGAGGAGGGGTCCAAGAACTGATCCCTGAGGAACCCCAGTGACAAGTTGATGTGCTTTGGATACCTCCCCTCCCCAAGCCACCCTGAAAGACCTACCAGTGAGTTTTGACTTGTGACTTTCAGGACAAGCAGTATGTTGGCTTCGCTACGCTTCCTAATCAGGTCCACAGGAAGTCGGTGAAGAAGGGCTTTGACTTCACTCTGATGGTGGCAGGTATGTCTGAAATCATCACTATATTTGTCCCTGACTTCATGCTCGTCTTTGTCATTAACAAGAGCATTTTGTGTGTTTTTAGGTGAATCTGGATTGGGAAAGTCTACTCTAGTAAACAGCCTCTTCCTCACAGATCTCTATAAAGACAGAAAATTACTAAATGCTGAAGGTAAGAATTGTCTTAAAGAAACAGTACACCCAAAATAACAGTTCTGTTATTGTTATATAAGAATACAATATACACTGCTGTTTAAAATTTGGGGTATTTTGGGTTTGGATTTTTCTTTTTTGAAGAAGAAGAAATTAATACTTTTATTCAGCAACAAATTCATTAAATTGATCAAAAATGTGACAGTAAAGATATTTATAATGTTACAAAATTTTTCTATTTCAAATAAATTCTGTTGTTTTGAACTTTCTATTCATCTAAGAATTATACAAAAATCTATGTATCAGTGTGTCTACAAAAACATGAAGCAGCACAACTGTTTTCAACATTAATAATAATCATACATTTTTCTTGAGCAGCAAATCAGCATATTAGAATGATTTCTGAAGGATCATGTGACACTGAAGACTGGTGTAATGATGCTGAAAATTCAGCTTTGATCACAGGAATAAATTACATTTTACTATATATTCACTTAGAAAACAGTTATTTTAAATTGTCATAATATTTCACAATATTACTGTTTATACTGTGTTTTTATTAAATAATGTCAATGCAGGCTTGGTGAGCAGAAGAGACTAAAAAAACAACAACAAACAAACAAGAAGAAAAAAAACACATAAAATAAAATCTTACCAACCCCCAAGCTTTTTAACAGTAGTGTAGCATATACATAAGTGTACACCTCTTCAACAGGTTTGTTAGTTTGAGTGTTATATTGTGTGTTTCCTGCAACAGAGCGTATTAATCAGACGGTAGAGATCACCAAACACACAGTCGACATCGAGGAGAAAGGAGTCAAACTCAAACTCACCATTGTGGACACGCCAGGGTTTGGAGACGCAGTCAATAACAATGAATGGTGAGAATTCAGCTGTTCCATGAGCACAATTACAAATCTGATAGTTACGGTCGTAGATGCTGATTGCTCAATACAGCATTTTATGAAAGCAAAAAGTCAAATGAGTTAATCTGACAGAAAAGCCTTAGTATGTTATTGTGTACAGTTCTGTCTCTCTGAAGAGTGTGTGTTTGTGTGTGTGTTTGCAGTTGGAGGCCCATCACAGACTACATCGACCAGCAGTTCGAGCAGTACTTCAGAGACGAGAGTGGACTGAACAGAAAGAACATATTAGACAACAGAGTGCACTGCTGCCTGTACTTCATCCCGCCGTTTGGACACGGGTACGAGCGGGTGTCACGGGTCTGTCTCATATGGGTCAGGTTCATATGCATCATCTTCCCATTTGCATAATCAGCCTCGGACCAAGATGTAGATGAGTTTGTTTCTTCATCAGATTTGGAGAAATGTAGCATTGCATCACTTGCTCACCAATGGATGCTCTGCAGTGAATGGGTGCCATCAGAATGAGAGTCCAAACAGCTGATAAAATCATCACAATAATCCACACCACTCCAGTCCATCAGTTAACGTCTTGAGAAGCCAAAAGCTGCATGTTTGTAACATGCAAACAAATCCATGTTTATAACTTCAAACAGTTGCTTCCAAGTCCATAATCCATAATATTGGTTTCTCCAGTGAAAGGTTTGTCTCATCTGAATCAGGAGAGAAATCTGCACAGATCAAGCACCGTTTACAAGCCAAAACAGTTCTAAACAAATGTATGGTTGGATTTTGATGTGAAGGACCACAGGAGATGGACTTTTTCCACTGCTTTACTATGGATTATGGACTCATATTTTGGCTAGAAGCAACGACTCGAGGTTAAAAACGTCTTAATGATGGATCTGTTTCTTACAAACACACATCTTTTCACTTCACAAGACATTAACTGATGGACTGGAGTGGTGTGGATTACTTGTGGATTATTGTGATGTTTTTATCAGCTGTTTGGACTCTCATTCTGACGGCACCCATTCACTCCATTGGTGAGCAAGTGATCAGATGAAGAAACAAACTCATCTATATCTCGGATGGCCTGAGGGTTAACACATTTTCAGCAAATGTTCATTTATGGTGAACTATTCCTTCAACAAACTGACTCGCAGATGTGAATTCAGGACTTCAGAACATATATTTTTCTTTAACATGAATGTGTAAAAAGTAAACATATTTGACTTGCAGGTCTTGCATCATGAAAAGCGATTAATGCAAAAAGTATTTAATGCATAATTAGAGCTGGAGTTAGCATCAGATATTCAGAGACTGTTATTTCTGCCGTGCAGTTTGCGGCCGGTGGACGTGGAGTTCATGAAGGCTCTGCATGAGAAAGTGAACATCATTCCTCTGATCTCTAAAGCGGACTGTCTCACTCCTAATGAGGTCAAAAAGCTGAAGGACAGGGTGAGTGCACACTATCTGATCGCATCTCAACAGTTAATCTGATTCTTTTTTGATGGAAGCAGTTATTTTATACTAGGCCAAACGCATCAGCTGTTTCCTGCACATTTGCAGGTTGTGCAGCATGATTGTTGTGTTCATAGTGTGCATCTGTTGTCCTGCAGGTGCGAGACGAGATCGAGCGCTTCGGGATTAAAGTGTATCAGTTTCCCGAGTGTGACTCTGATGAAGAAGAGGAGTTCAAACAGATGGACAAAGAGCTGAAGGTCTGGCAAACGGCTCATAAAACATTCAGTCTGAAATCTCCATCCAGACTAAATAATTTAAATAATTTCACTCCATTTGGATTGCTTTTACCCTCACGATGGACTTTTTACTGCTGCCAACAGCTGGAGGAGTGAAGCTGATAAACTGCTGTTATGTGCAGATGTTTTTCATGTGGCAGATTAAAGTGTTGCTGCACATAAATATGTGTGTATATTGAATATTGAATGATTTATGTGTCGTGTGTGTGTGTTCTGTAGGAGTGCACTCCGTTTGCTGTCATTGGCAGTAATACAGTGGTGGAAGCCAGAGGTCAAAGGGTCAGAGGTCGTCTTTACCCCTGGGGTATCGTGGAAGGTCCGAAACACTCTAAACAAGTACAACAAAAAGGGGATTAATGCTTGGCAAATGGATTGTACATATTTATATTATGTTGAAATTAATATGTCAGAGGTGCCATGATGATAGGGCTGGCCGATAAACAATATCATATCAAGACTGTGATAAATGTGATTTATGTCGATAACGATGATAAGCTCTGGACGTTTTTACTCTGATTCACTTCAGAAGCTTTTCATAGTTTCATCTGAGAAAATACTACAAGCAAATACACACCGAAACTCAAAGATCTTTGACAGACTGCCAAAATAAAAGTTCATTTTAACTTAATTAAATTATGACAGAAATATATTACTATTGTTTTTCTCAAAGTAATAATAATAATAATCATATTTTTAAGGAATATCATACAACCAAGATATTTTTTCATCCATGTTTTAATGTATGCAGCCTCATCTTATTTGATAAAAAAATGAAAATGCATACAAATGTTTTGTTGCAAATTAATTGTTATATTTTCTTTTGATTACATTTGAAAAGATTTACTAAGTTGTTAAAGTTTTATATAAAATTTTTTGAATGATACATTTGTAGAATATCATAAAACAGATAATACAGAAAAAAATTAAATGGAAACACAGAATTTAGGGAAAAATCAAATGTATTTCTTGTGGCCCTAAATTAAAAGGTAGCAACTGTGTGGAGTTAAATTGTGAAAAAAAATAAAAAAAATTAAAAGTTTATATTCATTCTCAAGGTCTAACAAACATGGAAAGCTTTCCTTCCCCATTAATGGTAAAAAAAAAATTGTGATAATATTTTTGGCCATATCACAAATCCATATACTGAAGTGTGCATGCTTTTTAGGCCAATATTGCCCAGAACATGCTTAGTTTGTCCCAATACTAGTCTACTGCAAGAGTTTCTGGCCATTAAACTATGCACTTTATCATCATTAGTAAGCGCAGTACATACTGCTCATATGTAGTAGTGGTGCTACAGCATGAACTGCAGTGTTCCAGGGATCTTTACATAAAATTGTCTTCCAAATGAATAAATGTAAATGTCGTTTGTGTGTTCGTGAACTCTAATGCATTTCTTTGTGTGTGTTGTTCAGTGGAGAATCAGTCTCACTGTGACTTTGTGAAACTGAGGAACATGCTGATTCGCTCTCACATGCACGACCTGAAAGACGTGACGTGCGACGTGCACTACGAAAACTACCGAGCCCACTGCATCCAGGAGATGACCAGGTGTGTGACATTCACAGTCAGTTTTAGTTTTAGTTATAATTTAGTTAAAAAATGTACCTGAAATAAAATAGGGTTACCATTTGAATATATTTTATTTTATTTTAGTTAACATTTATTTTATTTCAAGTAATGAATTTTTGTTTTTTTTTAGTTACTGTAATAACTAATATCCCTAGGACATATGCTAGTTTAACCCCTTAACTGTCACTTACGTTTTTGAACATAGATCCAAACTTACATTTTTATAATTCATGAGTTTGGCCATATCACAAATCCATATACTGAAGTGTGCATGCTTTTTAGGCCAATATTGCCCAGAACATGCTTAGTTTGTCCCAATACTAGTCTACTGCAAGAGTTTCTGGCCATTAAACTATGCACTTTATCATCATTAGTAAGCGCAGTACATACTGCTCATATGTAGTAGTGGTGCTACAGCATGAACTGCAGTGTTCCAGGGATCTTTACATAAAATTGTCTTCCAAATGAATAAATGTAAATGTCGTTTGTGTGTTCGTGAACTCTAATGCATTTCTTTGTGTGTGTTGTTCAGTGGAGAATCAGTCTCACTGTGACTTTGTGAAACTGAGGAACATGCTGATTCGCTCTCACATGCACGACCTGAAAGACGTGACGTGCGACGTGCACTACGAAAACTACCGAGCCCACTGCATCCAGGAGATGACCAGGTGTGTGACATTCACAGAGTGATCATATAGAGAAGATAAAAACACAGTCAGCTTTGTTTTCAGCCGGCAGGCGGTGTGTAAATGACATGCTGACCTGAGGCTGTTTGACTTTCCAGCCCACATGTGCTTCATATAATGCATGTGTGTGTGTGTGTTTCAGTAAACTGGCGCAGGATAACCGTACAGACAGTCCACTACCCCTCCTGCCTCTGCCCACACCAGACGTGGAGACGGAGAGACTCATTAAGATGAAGGATGAAGAGGTACAGAACAATCGTCACTGATATTAAACCAGCACTCAGATGTGTGCTATAGATTTCTATATAGTTATTAGGACACTAGTGCTATTTTACTAACACTGAGATACTTATTATAGTTTTTATTAATATTTTGAATTAGTTTTTATTTGTATATTTTCCATGTTCAATTTAGTTTTAGTTAGTTTTAGTCATTTTGTTGTGTGTTTTTGTCATTTTTATTAATATCTATTTAGGAGTCTTAGACCTTTCCAACGATATATAGTTTGTCATGATTAGATTAGGATTTAATTGTAATATAGTGAAGTAAACTTAGGCGTCCCACAGAGGGGACGGGTGACAGTTAAAGGGTTAATTCATATTTATGGTCTCCGTACATACATTTTCATACGGATTCATTGTTATAGATACTTGGACGATTGGATGAATCTATGGATGATTTAATTGCCAGCTCGTTATGGCCAGTATTATAAATCTATACTTTTTGTGTGTTTTTTCATGTTTATCTTCCAATTTAGCCATTTTTTCTTCATTTTCGCTTCATATTCTTCAAACAAGGAAAAACATAAGAAATTTATTGTAAAGTAGCCACACTGCAATGTAAAATTTAGATTTAAAAAAAAATGTAGTAAAGCAGAGCAGTACACAGCTAGAGAAGTGAAATATTAAAATGACACTACCGTTTGAAAATTTGGGGTAAAAAATACAAAATACAAAAACAGTAAAAAAAAAAATGCAGTAAATATATGTATACATATATATATATATATATATATATATATATATATACAGTATATATATATATAGAGAGAGAGAGAGTCTGTTTTGCTTATAAAGGCTGCATTTATTTAAAAATTAAATCCAATAAAATCAGTAATAATATGAAATATTTTTACAATTTAAAAGAACTGTTTTCTATGTGAATATTTTGTAAGGTGTAATTTATTCCTTTGATGCAAAGCTGAATTTTCAGCATCTTTACTCCAGTCTTCAGTGTCACATGATCTTCAGAAATCATTCTAATATGCTGATTTGCTGCTCAAGAAACATTTCTGATTATTATCAATGCAAAAAACAGTTGTGCTGCTCCATATTTTTGTGAAAGTTACGGTACATTTTATTTTTCGAGATTCTTTTATGAAAATAAAGTATAGAAAAACAGCATTTATTTTAAATAGAAATATTTTGCAACATTATAAATGTTCACTTTTGATCAATTGAATGCATCCTTGCTAAATTATAAATAATAATAATAATAATAATAAAAACCTAATGTAAACTACAAGAAAGTTACAATGACGTTTTCCTGACTGTGTGTTGTTTTGTATGTGCAGCTGAAGAGAATGCAGGAGATGCTGGAAAAGATGCAACAACAGATGCATGAGAAAGACCAGTGATGCTGACACACACACACACACACACACACACACTACGGCCCTCACAGCAGCCCTCAGATGTGAATGCATTTAAATGATACTGTACAAATATCATATCTACAGGTCTGAGCCTCAGATCCGCTCTGTTCATCAGCTCGGTGCTTCTGTCTGCCTGCATCAAAAACAGTGATTCATCATGAACATACATAAACCAGTCGAACTTAAATTCACTTCTGAAGGTATCTCATTTATATTGACTTTTGATTTTGCTTAGTTCATTGACGTATGTGTGTGTGTGTGTGTGTGTGTTTGGAGAGACAGTGATGTCCTTTTGCTATGAATTTGTTGTGTTCGATGGCGGTTTTGATTATAGAGAATGTGAACATACAGTACGGCTCCAATAACTGTTACCAAGAAATATCCTCAGTTCAGACGGCTGGTTTTTGCTCGTTTTCTAACAATAATAATCCGAATAAAATCTATTCCATTGTTATGAGTGTTAATGGCCTTTAATAATTTATATTATGTCAATTGTTTATGTAAATTTTGAAGTAAAGCTTGCTAATAAATGTGAATAATTTATCAGTTGTTGTTTGTTCGCTATGGTTTCATATCCGTATGATCGATCAGCAAGATATATAGTCTCTAAGATATTTTGCTCCGTCATATTTACTGAAAGAAACTCAATACGTGTTTCTTACTAATTCTGAGATGCTTATTCCAAAAATAGTGGCTTTTGGTTTTGTAATGTGTTATATATATTACATTTCCATGGATGAAATATATTGTCATATGGTTGCTACATATAATATACCATATATAAAATCATCATATGTGACCCTGGAGCACAAAAGCAGTCTTAAGTCGCTGGGGTATATTTGTAGCAATAGCCAACAATACATTGTATGGGTCAAAATTATTGATTTTTCTTTTATGCCAAAAATCATTAGGATATTAAGTAAAAATCATGTTCCTTGATGATATTTAGTAAATTTCCTACTGTAAATATATTCAAACGTACTTTTTGATTAGTAATATGCATTGCTAAGCACTTCATTTGGACAACTTTAAAGGTGATTTTCTCAATATTTAGATTTTTTTTGCACCCTCAGATTCCAGATTTTCAAATAGTTGCATCTCTGCCAAATATTGTCCTATCATAACAAACCATACATCAATGGAAAGCTTATTATATTTATTCAGCTTTCAGATGATGTATAAATCTCAATTTCGAAAAATGGACCCTTATGGCTGGTTTTGTGGTCCAGGGTCACATATATATTATTGCATATTTTACTATATTTATTTATTGACAAAATTTGAATTTGAAAAATCTAATGTGCTGTAGTTCTCCTTTTCATTGATATTTTTGAACTAACATTGGGCCTTTTTGGCAAATCAGCAGGATATTTTTTTCTTTGAAGATGCAGAGCTTTGTAATCCTTCTATTGTTTAAAAGCACAAAGTGAACTGTGGTGTAGTTTTGCTGTCTGTTTCAGATATTGGATGACTCGTGTGCTCTTCATTCACTGGCCAATGCAAAGGAAAAGCGCTTCTGATGTCCCAGTGTCAGAGCGTGAAAGTGCGGCCCACTTCCGGTCACATATTGCTCTGAGGGGGCGGCGTTTGAGTTTTATCAGTGTGACCCAGCTGTGTTTGATGCTGCAGTCTTAACGCTCCTTCAGACTGATACTGACCCACAGACACGCTGGTGACGCTGGTAAGAACTTCACTTTTCAATTCATCTCACATCTAAACAAATTACATAATATATGCATTAGTTCTGTAACTTAAATATGACTTATTCTCGATGTATTTAGCTATTATTCATCCAATATTGCTAATGTGTTCTGCTCTCCACACATTGGGACCCTCAGTGAACTAAAGGGCTGGTAAACACACGCTCGCATTTAGTGAATCATACGCACTGCTGGTTAAAATGAGATATCTGATCAAAACAAGAAGACAATAAGACAAGGTTTTTATTTTATATTTTATTTTATTTTTACCAGTTGTCACAATTTGAGGAATATATAACATTTTTATGATTAAAATAAAAAATAAATAGAGCTATATATAAAGATCTTTATAGCAAACACAAGGAATTTTTTGGGGGGAAGCTTCTGGAACACATCCAGATATAACAAGAAACATCATAATAAAATTAAAGCATTAAATATAAAATTGTACAAAACATCTGTTGGGCTGAGAGAGAGAATAAACATTTACAGATGTATTTACAGACTACTAATAATACAGTGTGGTGAATATATGGTGTATAATAAATAAAATGAAATAAAATATACAAAATAAAATAAGATACCATGGTGACACTATAGATACCATTGTATATTCATGTACCATTGCTTTTAGTATTAAAAAACAAAACATTTAAAAAACACCATGTTAATAGATTGCTTATGTTAATAGATTATTGCAAATGCCAAAAACGTGATATTGCAGTGGTTTTGCAATATCCAATAACATTTTAGTATTTGTTTGTCAGCATTAATTATATTATATATTATAATTATAAAATAATTGTAGTATTAATTTTTTATTAACGTTTAATTACATTTTGTTGTCATTTTGCAATTCAATTTCAACCTAAAAATGTTCATTAGATTCGTGTGTATTGTTTTTCCTCTACACTGAGACTATGCAATGTTTGTATCATCCCGTACTTTTTAACATTTTTGTCTTTCTTGCTTCCTCCCGAAATTCCAGATAAACGTAAAAATCTCCGTCTATTCAGTTTAGTACTCCATACTTATCTGGCACTGAAAACATCCGGATGTGACTGCATGTATTGTTCTGATGAAGAGCAGGAACATGACGGTGATTTGTCATCTGTCTGCAGTGTGTGTGTGTGTGTGTGTGTGTGTTCTGGCATGCGGTGTGTTGCGCTCGTGTTGAAGGTGGTGCTGTCAGTGCTGGGCAGTGAGATGATCGTGGCTCAGCTCTGGTGTCCGGAGGTGTGCTCCTGCGCGGCCGGCGTGGTGGACTGCAGTAAACGTGGCCTCACCACGGCCAGCCTGCCCTCGTCCTTCCCTCCACACACCACCGCACTCCAGCTGAACGACAACCACCTGACGGCTCTGCCCCACGGCCTGCTGGACTCGCTGCCAGCCCTGCACCGGGCCGCGCTCCACGGAAACCCGTGGTCATGTGACTGCGGCATCCTTTATCTGAGAGGATGGCTGCTGAAACAGAGCAACCCTGCTTCCATACAGTGAGTGCGTGCAGGAAAGATTAAAGATGGGATTGAAATTTTGGATTGATTTAGAATGAGTTTTTTTCTGCTGCACTGAGGCAGAGACTTTCATCTTTCAGATCTTCTTCAAATTATCTGTATTCAGTCTATATTCTTATTTATTTTAAATTAATAATATAAAAAAATTATTTTGATTTTAACCAAAAGAAAATAAGTTGAGGTTCATATGCTGTTTTTTTTACCAGTTGTTAAATGTTAAAGAATATATAACTGCCTATTATTAAAATAATAAAATAAAATACAAACACAAATGTAAAATACCAATAAAATGTATTTCTGATTTATGGAGTGACAAAAGAGATATACAAAACTTCTGTTTTTCTGTAAAAAAAACAAAAAAAAACATAAAACTTAAATAATAAAAAGATGTTACTTGAAATAAAATTAACTTTACTAAACTAAACTGAAAAAAATAAAAAATAATTTTATTTCAGCTTGTTACCAAAATAAAAAAAAGTATTTCTGACTTATGGAGTGACAGAAAGAGATGCACAAAAACTTCTGTTAAAAAAACTTAGAACTGAAATCATAAAAAAAAATGTTATTTGAAATAAAATTTATTTTAATAAAATTAACTGAAATAAAACATAAACATAATTTTTATTTCAGCTTGTTACCAATGCAATATTTAATTTTATTTTCATTATTTTAATTTAGTTTAACTTGATGCACCAAAATAACTAAAACTAGAAATAAAATTAAAATAATACCGGTAATAATAAAAAACTATACAGACAGATTTTTAAAAAACTATACAAAAAAATACAAAACATAAACTTCAACTAAAATTCAAATGAAATCAGAAAATACAAAAATAGAAATTATAATAGTACCTCAATGATACTACATTCACACTGATGTCCACAGAATGAAAAATGTTGAACTTGGCTTTTATCAACTGTCCTGGAAATGTATGCAAATTTGTGCATTTCAATTAGATAATGCCTCATTTGCATATTTAAACATAACATTCCCGAAAACTTGTAATACAAAATTTAATATCTTAACGTACTAATTAACTTGGGAAGTATGGTGATATCTACTGTATTAGTTATTATTTAAGTGTCTCAATTGTTCCTCAGACAGCAATGAAGCTAAAGTTATCCTGAGAAAACCCCTGAAGAGCTTGTTTCATTTATTTAAGCAACTGTAGGAGAAACATCTGAGACCAAGTTGATACTTGAATGAAATATAACTGAGCTTTTTTTGTTGTTGTTGTTTTCTAAACTTGCTTAGGAAGTACAAATATGACAAAACATACACCACGGAAAAAAGCCAGGGGTTCAAGGATGGCCAAACAATACATAGCAATTACATTTCAAGAGAGAGAATGAAACATAATTTAATTTAATAATTTAATAAATTAATTTAATAATTTATGCATTTAGCAGACGCTTTTATCCAAAGAGACTTACAGTGCATTCAGGCTATACATTTGTTACCAGTATAAATAGGTAAACTTACATAAAAAGGTAAAAAAAAAAAAAAAGAAAAATAATAAATAAGCAGATCACATAACAATAAAAATAATCTTTCCAACAAAACAAATTAATTATTAAATAAAAATGATGCAAAAACACTGAAAAGTGAGCTAGTTGCCTTTTTGTTACTGGAGGTAGATAAAGATTTAATATAGATTTTAATATCTTCTTGAAAGTAAGACG